CGTCCACTGCTCCTCTGCGTGCCCCTTTGCCTTCTCCTCCTCAGTCTTCTCTTCCTACTCTTGCCGACCCGGAGTCGGACTCTCACCGTGCTGCCAGTCCTACTGTCACGCGTCTTCTTGCTACTCTTGTCACTGACCCTTCCTTAGAGTCCGCTGCTGCGTCTGCCCTAGTTGCTGAGCTGGTCGACTTTGCTGCTGCGTGTCGTCTGGACTACGCTGCCAGTCTTGTTGCTGAGTCTGCTGAGTCTGCTGAGTCTGCGTCTGCGTCTGCCTGTCCTCCGTCCGTCGGGGGTGACTGTGCTCTTGGCACGGACGTCCTTGAGGACAGGCAGGAGGAGTTCCAGTGCTTTGCCGCCGCTTTGCCCCATCTAGTGTCCATGCTTGTTGCCCCTGAGGGAGACCCGGATGCTCTAGACATCCCGACCCCACGCTCTTACGCAGAGGCGATGGCCGGTCCCTACTCCTCTCAGTGGCAGTCAGCCATGGACGCAGAGATGGCTTCCTGGAAGTCCACAGGCACCTACGTTGACGCTGTTCCCCCTCCTGGGGCGAACATTGTCAGTGGCATGTGGATCTTCAGGGTGAAGCGGCCGCCGGGTTCTCCGCCTGTCTTCAAGGCGCGCTATGTGGCTCGTGGCTTCAGTCAGCGACAGGGAGTTGACTTCTTTCAGACCTTCTCCCCGACCGCGAAGATGACCACTCTTCGGGTTCTACTGCACGTCGCTGCTCAGCGTGACTACGAGCTACACTCTCTTGACTTCAGCACTGCTTTCCTGCAGGGCCGCCTGCACGAGGAGATCTGGCTGCGCCGCCCTCCTGGCTTCACTGGGTCGTTCCCTCCTGGTACCCAGTGGAGCCTCCGGCGGCCAGTCTACGGTCTCCGCCAGGCGCCGCGTGAGTGGCACGACACACTGAGGACTACACTTGCGGCTCTTGGGTTTGCTCCTTCTACTGCTGACCCGTCGCTGTTTCTGCGCACCGACACCTCGCTGCCGCCGTTCTACATCCTCGTGTACGTCGACTACTTGGTCTTTGCCACTGCGGACACTGCCGCACTCGCCCACGTGAAGTCCGAGCTGTAGAAGAGACACACGTGCACAGACCTGGGTGAACTGACAAGCTATCTTGGCTTGCGGATCACCCGGGACAGAGCACGCCGCACCATTACCCTGACTCAGTCACACATGGTGCAGCAGGTCCTTCAGCGCTTCGGCTTCACATACTCCTCGCCTCAGTCCACTCCTCTGCCTACGGGACACTCGCTCTCAGCTCTGCCTTCGGATGAGTCCGTAGAGTCGAGTGGTCCGTATCCAGAGCTTGTGGGCTGCCTCATGTACCTGATGACTTGCACTTGACCTGACCTCGCATACCCTCTCAGCATCTTAGCACGCTATGTTGCTCCCGGCCGTCACCGGAAGGAGCACATGGATGCAGCTAAGAGGGTGTTGCGCTACTTGTGCAGTACGTCGGGCATGGGGCTAGTGCTTGGAGGGCGTGAGCGGCCTGTGCTCACTGGGCACTCAGACGCTTCTTGGGCTGACGACCAGGCTACTCAGAGGTCGTCTCAGGGTTACACCTTCAATCTTGGCTCTGGCTCTGTCTCTTGGCGCTCTACTCGCTCTTCTTCGGTTCTCAGCTCCAGCTGTGAGGCTGAGATCTACGCCACGGCCATGGCTGCCCAGGAGCTTCGCTGGCTCACCTACCTGCTGACTGACCTTGGAGAGCGGCCTCGTTCTCCTCCAGTGCTGTACGTCGACAACAAGGCAATTATTGCCTTGTGTGAGGAGCACAGACTGGAGCACAGGACGAAGCACATTGCTCTGCGCTACTTCCTTGCTCGAGAGCTGCAGCAGCGTGGTCAGCTTCGCCTGCGTTTCGTGGCCAATGAGGCCAACACTGCTGATGTGTTCACCAAGGCACTTCCGCCTCGTGACCATCAGCGCTTTTGCACTCTGCTAGGCCTTGTGCCCACTGGGCCTCACTTGCTTACCTCTTGACCTTGCTTGTACTGCTGCATATATATATATCTTTGCTCTTGCTTGTTTAGCACTGTTATATATATATGCTCTGCTGCATGTGAACTGGCCTTGTGGCCTTGACCTTGTGCTCGGAATTTGTGTGGTATCCTTGAGATCCACCCTGAGCTTGCTTTGCTTTGCTTTGCTTTGCTTGACTGGTCTTGTGACCCCTTGCTCTCCCCCACTTTGCCTATGGGGGTGTGTCAGATGATGCATATATTTAGGCTGTAGTGGGGTAGCCCATAGGGGGTACAACCCAATTAGGGTTGGTACTTGTACTCCTTTCATTTCATAGTGCACACATTCTCTCTCTAATCTCAACAAAAACATCCGTGTAGTTCCCGCGCTGTTGCCCCACGTAAATGTCGCGCGCGTTTAACCAAACGCCGAATGCTCCTCCGAAATTGTCGGCGCTCCTTGCCGGAAACCCTGTAAGTCTCATGGACAAACTCCGAAATTGTCGCTCGAATCTAACCCCGTAAATACGCAGTCGCAGTTGCAGTAGCAGTTCGCCTCCGAAAATCTCGGACGTGCTATAGCCGCCCACTCGGTCACCATCAGTTTCCTTCGGTTTACCCGACCCCAACATGTGGGTACAATCGAGAACCGGGGACTGCCATGGGTTATTCCGAGAGCGAATTTCACGGAACCTAGTGGCATCAACGCCGTTGACGTCGTAGTCGAAAACTGCGTCCGCCGATGTTACTTAACAAAATAACCCGTTTCTCCCACCAGCGCTTTGCAGATGTTTCACCGCATCGCTCGTCGCCGGTCGATAAGTTCCCGAAGCTACGACTGCTCCCACGCTCCCTTTTTTCTGAAGAATTTCCCGAGGTGTGCGTTTAAACACCGGGGGTCCTAGGCATCCTTGCTGCTGTGTTTCTTGCCAGGCAACTTCGAAAAGTGCCCTTCAGGCGAAGTCCCCCAACGACTCAACCGCACTCCAAGAAGCGAAGAAATACCCGCAGCTTCATTTTTTTTGTCGTTTTACCCCCCGACAATTCCGCTTCCCGCCGTTCACCCAGCGTCCGCATTTTTCGGATGGGGTATAGTCGTTGTTGCCCGCGCGAACCTCGGCCACGATGGAGGGGCAAAAACTATCGGAGTCGGGGACCCTTAATTAACAGGAACAGTCGCCCAACCGTTTTGCAGCCCACCGCAACCGTCGCGCCACTAAAACACCACAGCTCCCGGTCCATGCTTTGCCGCTGCGTCGTCACCTCGTGTAGACGCCCGGGTCAGGAGAAACCAGCGAACTACACCATTGTTGTTATGCGGCGCCCCGATTTTTTCGCGTGCTGTTTCACCCAACCCGCTTTTGTCGGAGTAGAACAGTGCCACAACTCCCCTTTTTTTTTTCTGTACAGCTGTTGAACGAGCACCAACCCAGGTGCCTTTAACCAGCGCAGGGTAGGCCCGTGTTCACCCCCGTTATTCGGCCAAGTAAGTTGACTGCATGAGTCAGAACTAAAACTTGGTGGGGATGGTGAGGTTCGGGCGACGGAAGGTCACAGGCCGTTCACACCGGCTTTTAACCTGCCCTTCACGCCGTTTCTCGACCCCCGCTTAGCCGTCGGGGAGTTTCTTCCCGCGTGTCCCGGCGGCCTGTACCGACTCCTCCGTAAATGTCGGGGCAGTACGTTGAACGCCGTTTAATCGTGGGTCGCTTGCAGCTGTCCCCGAAAACGACTTCTCTGGTAGGAGAAACCGCTCTCGAAACTGCCGGCCAGCTTGCAACAACTCCAGGCACGCAGCGTCGCACGAGTCGTTTTCCGAGGTTACCGGCCCCGGTTTCCCTCGTAAGTGTCGGCGGGTCCGAAAATCCCGTCTGTCCACATGCACTTCTGCCGAAAACGTTGATGACGCGCCCGCCAATGTAGTAAAGGCCGCTGCACTTAACAGGTCGGGCGGGACGGCAGTTGAATCCCGCATAAATCGGGCAATCCTCGTGGCGTCTCTCCTCGTCACTAGCTTTTTCAGACGCAAACTTAATTTGCGCCTGGCGAGTTCCCCAGCCGACTTTTTCTTCACAGCAGATTCGAAATTGTCGCCCACTGTGACGCACGTCCGTTGTCGCCAGCTGCCGCAACACATTCTGCGAGTCATGCGCGCAAAATGACGACGAGCCACCGTTGTCACTTGCCGCATGAGACGGACTCCGAAATTGTCGCGCAGTTGTTGACTCAGGTCCGACGGCGTCAACTGCCACACACGTTGACGACTCCGCGAATTTCGTGCAGGTGCCGACGCAAGGTCCGCTGACGCCAGCTGCCACACAAAACTTCCGAAATCGTCGGTAAATCGCAGCGGAAATAACTCACGTTTAACGTCGCGACAGCTACAGCTGTCCGTTGCCCGGGGGGAGGGAGGTCACGGTCGATCACGACCGTTCGAGGCAAGGATCCGGCGGTGCTGAGGAGTGCACGATAAATCCATGGCCGCGAAGAGCAACTAACCCGTTCTCTTGGCCGGCCTAGGCGACTCCTGGACCCCAGGACATCCTTCCTCATCCCCCCCCCCCGAGGAGTATTACACTCTAAAAGCGGGGTAGGCTAGGAAAGTAGCTCTGATACCAGGTGTTATGAATGAACTTGCAGAGTGCGCAGTAAAACGAATATCGAGAATGATTGAGTACTGAATTCCCTGAATACAATGGAAGTGACGAGGCCTAAATAGGGGAAAACCTAGCTAGGCGGGGGGTTCGGGATGGGATGGCTCGGTGATGGTTGCGATTGGAGCGGAGGCCGACTCGGGAGTGGCTCGGTGCGACGAAATAGGAAGGTCAGGTTCGTCGCGTGACCCTCGGGATGGCCTCGCTAACGAGTGCCTCAGTAAGGATTTGTAAATCCTTACAATTGTCAGTCGTTGTTACCGCCATCTTTTGGTCGCCACAGATTCCGTCACAGCGGATAATCGAATGGATCAATACAAGCCCAGCATAACTTTCGTCTCCACCACCTTCGCCTGCCAATTTCAACGCCCATGGCGTCCTCGGGCTCGACTCCCCTTCCTCCAAGCCAACCCTCGGCGGTTCCTCCGCTCGCCGCGCTCGCGCTCCCGCATCTCACCGCCGCGGGCCTCTCCCAACAGCGCGCCGAGCCGTTCCTCCGTGCCCTCAACGCCCTAGTCCAGTCCTACGCAGCAAACGGCCTCTCAAATCCCGCCACGTGGCAGCACGTGGCGCGTTCGCTGCTGCGGCCCGACGTGCCGTTTCCCGTGCACGAGCTGCTCTACTCGTCGGCCTTCGCCACGTGGCGCGAGCGCGCGCTCGGACCGCCCCCAGTGTGGACGCCGACGCGGTACTAAGCGATGGCTCGCTGGGCGCGGATGGCGCTTGTGCAGCATCGAGTTCCTGGATGCCCATCGATGCTCATCGCCTCTCGTCTCCCAGCGTCGACTTGACTTGTTGCCCCTCCCGTCCTCCCTCAACACCTCCCCACCTCCCTCCCCCGCTTCCCCCGCCGATAGCACCAGCTTTTGCTGAAGCTTTACGCGTGGCCAGCGAGCGCACTTTGTCTGAAACGTCTTTTGCCTTGCTTCTCACCCTCTTCCTCTCTTCTCCCTCGTTTCCGCCGTCCTCGGCCCACCGCTCTTGCAGGGAGGAGGCGCGGCAAACCAATTTAGGCCGCCTGCTAGACAGCATCGAGGGCAGGAAGCTTCTTGGAAAGGCGCCTCACGAGCCTCTGGACCTGCCGGGTAACTTCTTGCAGCTGCAGCGACTGTCGTACGACCGGCCAGAGGTGGGTGACGTCAGCAGGGGGTGCGTGACGTCAGTGAGAAACAGGTGACGCCATTAAAGGGTGAGAGACGACAGAGTCCAGCGAATGATGTAAGGCCCGGGGAGATGAGGACGAGGATTGGTGTGGACCACACGAGGCAAGGCGCTGTTTGACTCATTCTCCCCTCTCTGTGCCCCTCTGTGCCCCTCTCTGTGCCCCTCTGTGCCCCTCTCTGTGCCCCTCTGTGCCCCTCTCTGTGCCCCTCTGTGCCCCTCTCTGTGCCCCTCTGTGCCCCTCTCTGTGCCCCTCTGTGCCCCTCTCTGTGCCCCTCTGTGCCCCTCTGTACCGCTCTCCTTCCCCACATTTTCCCCCGTGCTCCAGCTGTACTGGCCAATCGTTCTCCGCCACCTGGGCATCATCTTCCGCAAACCCCCTCAGAAGATCTTCTCTCTGCCCGAGGATCCCAAGGAACGTTTGCAGCTGCCCGGAGGGCGCTGGTTGGTCGGGGCAGAGCTGAACATTGCAGAGAGTTGCTTGGGCGGTTTTGGCAGTTGGGGGAGAGGGAATGGGGGGGAGAGTGCGGGGGAAGCAAGGGGGGAGCGGGAGGGAGAGAGGGTGGCGGTGGTGTGGCGGGATGAGTGGGAGGAGGGGGCACCTGTGCGGCACATGACCATTGGCGAGCTGAGGCAACAAGCAATGTGAGTGGACGGATGAGAGCTGGGAAGATGCTACTCTCTCTGGGACGGTTTTTTTTTCACCCCCCCCTCACCTTCCCCCTCCCCCCCCCCTCCCCCCCTGCGCCTGACAGTCATTTCCCCCCTTCTCCCAACACTATCCTCTCACCCCGTCACCCCTCTCGCCCACTCATAACAGGTGTGTAGCATCCACCCACACAACCGTTTCCAACTCCTCTCAACCACTCTCTCTCCCATCACACCCAGCTCGGTCGCCCAGTCCCTACAAGCACGCGGCATCCGCCCAGGCGAGCCGATAGCACTGGCGCTGCCCATGACGGTGCCCTCACTGGCGGCGTACCTGGGTGTGCTGCTGTTGGTGAGTGCAGCTGTGGTGGTACCCAGCGCTGATACTTCCTCTCAACCGCCCTCTTCCCGTCCCACCCAGTGCCGTCGCCCAATCCCTACAAGCACGTGGCGTCCGTCCAGGCGAAGCCATAGCACTGGCGCTGCCGATGACGGTGCAGTCAGTGGCGGCATACCTGGGCGTGCTGCTGATTGGTGCGGCCGTGGTGTCCATCGCTGACAGCTTCTCTGCTCGCGAGATTGCTGCCCGCTTGAAGATTGCCGGGGCTACGGCGATTGTCACACAGGTGAGTGGAGCGAGGAGCGAGGAGTGTGGGCACTGACGCTGACGGTGGCAGGGAGGCAGGCTTGGGCGTGCTGCTGCTGGGCGCGCCTGCTGTGTCCATTCCATTCGTGACAGCTTCTCTGCACACCAACGAAATGGCTGCTCGCTTGAAGATTGCGGAAGCCAAGGCGATCGTCACACAGGTGGGTTGGGCGAGGTGCACACAGGTGGGTTGGGCGAGGTGCACACAGGTGGGTGGGGCGAGGTGCACACAGGTGGGGCGAGGAATGAGGGTCATGGCCGCACGGGTCACAGAGGAGCCACGGATGCACAGGGGAATGACAGGTGGGCGTGACTGAGTTGGGGGATGCAGCTTGGCTGCAGGAGGGGTGGTTGGGGATGGTGGGCAGTCTGGAGGATGAATCAGCAGGCACGGCGGGGGTGAGTGGGGCTGCTGCTGGTTGGAAAGCCCCGTGACCACTTTCCATCCGTCTCTCCTTCCCTGCTCAAACCCCCAACTACATCGTTCTCTGCTCCTCTTCCTCCCTGTGCGTCCTTCTCGGTATTTTACCTCGCAGGACTTCATTCCGCGTGGCGGAAAGCTGCTGCCACTCTACAGGTAGGTACCGCCGTGCCTGCTGCACGCAAACCCTCTCCTCTCTGCCACTGCTCTGCTACAGCCCACCTTCCTGCGCCCGCTCCTCGCTCCTCACCCCTCCCCCCTCCCCCCTCCCCCCTCGCTGGCCGCTATGCTGTCTGCCCCCCACCACTCATTCCTCTCCCGTTGCCCCTCCTCGTCCCTCCTCCCTCCATTCGCCCCTCATTGTCACGCCCAGCCGGGTGGTGGAGGCGGGTGCGCCGCCCGCCATTGTGCTGCCAGTCACTGAGGGAGCGCCACGTGTCGCGTTGAGAGAGGGCGACGTGTGGTGGAGCAGCTTTCTGGCTGAGGGGCAGCGCTCAACAGAGAGAGGCACCAGCAGGTGCAGTGCGGTGCTGGCCGCTGATGGGATGAGCACACGCACACTGATGAAGTCTTGGCTGCATGCGTCTCTTGGACTCGCTGTGTTTTTTTTCCACAAATTTTTAGACGCCTCAAAAGTCGTCTCTTGACTCGCTGTGTGTTCCCCAGAGCTGCCGTCCAGCACCTCTCATCTCATTCCCTGCGCTGGCCACCTGAGGGCTCAACGTGCATTCACTCCACCCTCCCTGCTGCGTGCCTCCCATCTCCGCCACTCACAGCGTGCCATGTGTCAGCATGCCAGTGGACGCCAGCATCAACATTCTCTTCTCGTCCGGCACCACTGGTGGGTGCTGCCTGCTGTGATGGGTCAAGGGTGAAGGGTGAAGGGTGAAGAGTGAAGGGTGCTGGATGCTGGGTGCGGCTGGGTGGTGGGTAGGTGGTATGGTATAGCTCCACGTGTTCTGCCATCATGTTCGCCCCTATGTTGCACACACATGGCATGACACCTGACAAGCTCCTCTATGTTCAGCCTGGCATGCGGGCTTCATGCTCGTATAGCAGCCATTGCAGCCATCGCGGCCATCACACAGCTTTGCTGCTCTTGCTCGTCTGCCACCCATTCGCCGTCTGCTGCACCATTCTCCCATAAAGCCCCGCCATGCCACTCTATGCCGCACTGCCCCTCACAATCATCCATGCATCCATGCATGCATGCGTGCAGGCACCCCCAAGGCCATCCCGTGGTCGGCCCTGGCGGCCATCAAGGCGGCTGCAGACGCGTGGGCGCACCACGACCTCAGGGGCGTGCGACGCGGCACACAGGGGCCAGAGGGGCGCGAGGGGGCGCATTATGGCAGCTCACAGAAGCAGCAGCAGCAGCAATGGGGGGAAGCAGGCGACGTGGTGTGCTGGCCCACGGGTCTGGGGTGGATGATGGGCCCCTGGCTGCTCTTCGCCGCTCTGCTCAACGGTGCTACTGTAGCTCTCTACAACGGCTCGCCTCTCACCCACGGATTTGCACGTTTCGTGCAGGTGGGCGTGGGGTTTGCAGGTGGAGGTGGGGCGTGCGTTTGGGGCTGGGGTGCTTGCAGTGCTTGCTTGGTGTGGGGACTGAACAGGGTGGGTCATGGAATGGGTGATAGAAGAGAGCAGGGGCAGCAAAGGGAGCGCAGGGCAGAACCTGAGCTGTGGGTGAGTTGTGCCCTATTAGCTCCATTGGTAGAACGCAACTCACCCCACGTAAACCCCATTGCCAACACCCCCTTCTCACCCCTTCTCCATCATTCTCCCTGCATTCATTCCCCCCCAACCCTTTCTCTCCTACCATGCACGTCTGTGAGGGGCAGGATGCGAGGGTGACGGTGTTGGGGGTGGTGCCCACCTTCCAACACCCCTCTCGCCCCTTCTCTTCCACCCCCCCTGCTCCCACTCCCCTACTCTCCCCCTACCATGCACGTCTGTCACGGAGCAGGATGCACGTGTGACGGTGTTGGGGGTGGTGCCCAGCCTCGTGCGCTCCTGGAAGGCCTCTGGCTGCACCGACGCCTGTGATTGGTCGCACATACGGTGAGTGATTTTTGTTTGGTCCCCCGCTCAGTGGCGAGCGGTGATTGGTTGCACCTATTGTGAAGAAGGTGCAGCAGAGGGATGACTAGCTAGCAAGGACATCACCCTCTCACGCGCTGCTCACTCCCCGTATTCTCCGCTCACTTCAAGATTTGCCCCGCCTTCTTCCCGCCCACCACTCTCCCCTCCTCCAACCATCGCTTGTTCACATACCCTGTTCTAATACTCGGCCCACAACTCTCTTTACATTTTTGTCCACACCCCATCCGCCTTGCTCCATGACCCATGCTCCATCTTTCATGCTCCGTATTCCATCTTCCGCATTCTGTATTTCACATTTTTCCACCCACCTGCCTACCCCACCCTTCCCCCTCTCAGCCTCTTCTCTACAGGAGAGGCCTCCTTGCCGTCCGACTACCTCTGGCTCATATCGCGCGCCCGCTACCGAGCACCCGAGCTCAAGTACTACATGGGGGCTACTACTCCTGTCCGCCGCCACCCTCCTTTCAACGACCTCACCTCCAACCCTTGTTCCACACATATCTTTCCGTTTCTGTCCACGACCCATGTTCCTTGTTCCTTGCTCTTTGTGCCAGCCTCTTCTCCTCTACGGGAGAGGCGTCTCTCCCCTCCGACTACCTGTGGCTCATGGCACGAGCGCGCTACCAAGCACCCATACTGGAGTACTGTGGGGGCACTGAGATCGCCGGGGCCTTTCTCACTGGCACCTTGCTGCAGCCCCAGGCGCTCTCCTGCTTCAGCACCCCTGCCATGGGGTGCAGAGCGGTGCTGCTGGGTGCAGAGGGGGACGGGGGTGGGGGAGTGGATGGGGGCAGTGGTGGGGGGGCGAGAGTGGTGGATCCTGGGGAGTGGAGGAAGGGGGGTGGTAGTGGGGCGGGTGGAATGGAGGGCGATGATTGGCTGATGGGGGAGTGCGCGCTCATGCCTCGCATGCTGGGAGCTTCGTGGAAGCTTCTGAACGCGGATCACTACAGGGTGTACTTTGAAGGCATGCCGGAGTTTCACGGCCAGGTGCCTTTCTACCCACCCCTGCGAGATCCTTTTCCACATGCCGTTCAACCAACCAATCAAGTGCCTTTCAACCCCAGGCGTGACTGGTCATGAAGAAGAGCATTAGTATGCTAGGTCGCTTCAACCAGGTGCCTTTAGCCACCCAACCAGGTGCCTTTAGCCACCCAACCAGGTGCCTTTAGCCACCCAACCAGGTGCCTTTAGCCACCCAACCAGGTGCCTCCCCACCCCAACCAGGTTTCAAGGCCGGGTGCTTGTCCTGCCTCCACTACTGCTTCTGTGGGCCACTGGATTTTCTGTCAGCAGTATGTTCTCATCACCCCATCCCCACATCACCCCATCCCCACATCACCCCATCCCCACATCACCCCATGCCCACACCATCCCATGCCCCCACCACCCCATGGACACCACCTGCCCCTCCCTGCTTCCCCCAGCGGCTGCGGCGGCATGGGGACGCGGTGGAGTGGGGGGTGGGGGGCTACTGGCGCGCACACGGGCGCACCGACGACACCATGAACCTGGGCGGCGTCAAGGTGGGCCGCTGGGGCTGTGAAGGGGGGGAGGTGACGCTGTGGGGGACACGATGTGGGCATCAAGGCTCAAATCCGTACTGTGAGCCGACTGAGCCCTTTCAACTGTTCCGTTCTTTCAACTCTGCCGTTCTTTCAACTGTGCCGTTCTTTCAACTGTGCCGTTCTTTCAACTGTGCTGTTCTTTCAACTGTGCCGTTCTTTCAACTGTGCCGTTCTTTCAACTGTGCCATTCTTTCAACTGTGCCATTCTTTCAACTGTGCCATTCTTTCAACTGTGCCATTCTTTCAACTGTGCCATTCTTTCAACTGTGCCATTCTTTCAACTGTGCCATTCTTTCAACTGTGCCATTCTTTCAACTGTGCCATTCTTTCAACTGTGCCCTGTCCTTTCCCTGCCGTCCACCCTCCCAGTGCTCTCGCCTCCTCCACACTTTCTCCTGTTCTCGCGTGCCGCCTGACTTGGATAGCATGCCCACCACACACCTTCCTCCCTCCCACTCCCATCCTCCCTGTCAGTGCCATTCCATCGCCTGCCAATGGCTGCTATCGCCCCTGTAGTCCAGCAAGTGGGCTACTTTTTCCAGCAGACCCTCACGCCACCTTCCTTCGTTGGTCCCCATCCCACCACACGCTGACTGCAATCCCAATCCCATCCCACCTGACTGACAGGTAGGGTCGGTGGAGGTGGAGCGGGTGTGCAACACGGCTCAACCTGATTGACTCCTTGCTTGCACGATTGGTTGTCCCCCATCCCTTCCCTTCCCATCTCATCCCATTCCCCATCCCAATCCCATCCCACGGGACAGGTAGGGTCAGTGGAGGTGGAGCGGGTGTGCAACACAGCACACCCTGCCGTGTCAGAGACTGCAGCCATTGGCGTCGCACCACGTGGTGGCGGGCCAGAGGAGCTGGTGGTGGTGGCAGTGATGCGAGGAGGGGGAGTGGTGGGGGAGAAGGGAGAGAGGAGTGGAGGGGTGGATGGGGCGGAGAGGAGCGTGGTGTCGGAGGATGATCTGAGGAAGGTGTTTTCTGCTGCTCTCCAGGCCCATCTGAACCCGCTCTTCAAGGTGTCATGCTCACTCTGTATAGGTGGTCTCACCCAATGCACTCCGCTTATCTGTTGCCAGGACTCCCCTCTCTTCACGTGCCCATACATGCCCATATGGTACATGCCCATACATGCCCATACGGTACATGCCCATACATGCCCATACATGCCCAGACATGCACATACATGCCCATACATGCCCATACATGCCCGTACATGCCCGTACAGGCCCGTACAGGCCCGTACATGCCCGCACATGCCCGCACATGCCCGTACATGCCCGTACATGCCCGTACATGCCCGTACATGCCCGTACATGCCCGTACATGCCCGTACATACCCATACATGCCCATACATGCCCATACATGCCCATACATGCCCATACATGCCCAGATGCGACTGCACCTGGCCACACGTCCTCTCACACACATCCTCTTAACATAGTTCTGCACATGTGTGTGCTCGGGCACACACACACAACACACACACACACACACACACACACACACACACACACACACACATGCACGCACGCACGCACGCACGCACGCACGCACGCACGCACGCACGCACGCACGCACGCACGCACGCACGCACGCACGCACATGCCACATGCAAGCTCGGGTACCACACCCCGTGGGCATGCCATCAGATACATCACATAACCACCCTTTCTCCATCTGCCTTCCATCCCCACAGGTGGCAGCAGTGTGGGTGGTGCCATCGCTCCCCCGCAATGCATCCAACAAGGTCATGCGCCGCGTGCTGCGAGACCTCTTCACCCGCCGCCACCTCGCCGTGCCTTCCACCACCACACCTCCCACTCGGAGGCTTGTTGGAACCACGGGCCGCGCTACCTCCCGCCTTTAGCTCTGTTGTGTGCATAAAAGTACATCCATCCTCGTCACACGAATACGCTGTATATTCTGTAAAATATGTTGGTGTGCTTGTTCTAGCTATCTCTCCTGCCCTTCATGCACTTGCCAACAAGGCTTACAGGTAATTTTACTATCACCCTGACTAAGAGTCAGCCACTTCCGCTGCCATCTCCATGCGATCAACCCGAGGCTGATCCTGGATAAATCCCTTTTGGGATTGTAACAATGCCTTCGTTCAAATTATTTTGCTTCAATAGTGCAATTCTCGCTCGCTAAATTGGCACTCGTAAGATCACCTAACTGAATAAAGAACGATACTTACGGTATATGCATTACTTTTTCCAATGCACATCAATGAGTTGAACTCTTTGCTTTGGGGTTTCGAGGGGGCACGATTTGGTGTGACTTGCAATCCGAAGCCGCAGGCATATGCCTGTACTGCAGAACACCGCCATTTGACAGCTTGGTTGGAGCAGTCGGCCCGACATTTGGCACCTTGGGTGGAGCAGTCGGCCCGACATTTGGCAGCGTGGTTGGCACAGTCGGCCCGATCGCTTGTTGAAAGATGCAACGTCGCCCACGCACCATTTGCCTATCTCTGTGGGCTGAGGAATTGTCTGTACCACCTGTCGGCAGAACCTGCCCGACAGTTGCAACGTTCGATCCACATCCCAAACCAAGTTCTTCCCCAGTTGAAACTGAGAGGATGCAATCCTCACTCCTGCTTAGGCCTGAAGTTTAGGACCAAAATGGCGGGCGAGAAGGCGGGTACGAAAGGACAAACGACGGTTAACGACACTGGCTCGCCGTGACAGCTCATACACTTGCGCCGCTTGCAAATGCGACGAGGATCGTCCTCATCATAGCGGTTGCATACTGTTCTGGGGAAGCTCCATCCTTGGATAGCTTGTCTGTGGGGGTTATGGAGAAAAGATCTTGCTTCGGCCCCAATTCGTGTACAGTGGGAAGTGGCCAATACACATGATGCCCAGCCACTGCGCGCGAATTTGCTTTCAATATTTCAGAAACTCTGCGCCCGTGCCTTTTCTCCCAGTCAGTTGCACCCAGGGTACAGGCACGTGGATCTACCGCATTTGGGCGAGAACACGCCAAAGTATGAATTTTGGGCGCAAAACAAACCATGCTGACCCGGTTTGTTTTTGTTTCTTGGCCAGAAACAAGCATTAACCCTAAACCCCGAACTAAGAACAACACAGGCCCACCAGCACTGTTTTCGTAAAAAATAGACGGATTACAACCTGTGTTTTTTGAAAGCACCTCAACACCCTGACGAAATCGAACGAACGGGGCGAAGTCATGAAAACATTTATAAGCCTAAAGCACAACTCAAGTAGGGGAGAGTCAAACAAAGTATTAAGAATCGATGGTGCAAGATCAACTACTGTACACGTCGAGAATAGATTCCATCTGGAATTACTTTTGTTTTTTCGACTGTACTTTCCGGTCCGCCTGAACTCGCTCGAGACATTCTGCCTTCAACGAGTTTCCTCCGCTGATCGTTAGTACATATGCCATTCAGGAACGTCATGAGTGCGTTGATCCAATGAGATGGGGCTGCATCCAAGCGGATCGAACAACCCCGAATTTGCGAGTGCAATATGGACCTCAACCCTGTACTGATTGCTAGATCAGAACTGGAACATCTATGGAGTTTGTAGGGGTACACCCTGTTTCTCGACCCTCTCACCTTGCGCGATTCGCTGCTACAGTGCGGTCAGGTGCCATAAACCGTATGGCTGAAACCTGCGGGCAAAGCCGCACCAGCTGACGGAGTGGTACTGGGGGCAAATTTTTTCTTTATCGCTGTATACCCTTTCAACCGCTTTGAAATGCTTGGTTAATGTTCTTTACCATGCAGCATCCTAGCTAACCGCTTTCTTGTGAATGTGCTTGTACCGTCGGTGATAAGACCATTTCAAACGTGGTGACGTTCTACAACCTGTGCATGTTCTGCAACCAGATGCTCTGCTAGCGCGAAACAGGGTGTACATCCGCAGTGTGTAGATTTTAGCTTACACAGCGTAACCACAGGCAGTGGGGGGCCTTGGGGTAACAGAGGGGCATGTACCTGTTCCTGCTGTACCTGAGGACACGAGACGCGCTTTCCAGCTCACAAAACCAGATGCTAAACCTCCCTTCGTTTTCTCGTAGTAGAGTATAGCCGCTTGATAAATTATCGCCTTACTGTATGAATAATCCAACCATGCTGCACCGCACAGCTTGGAGATTTGGTGTTGACATCTCAAGCCAACACCATCTTCTCTTAGCATCAGGCGCTAGGCCCCACAGACACATCAACGCCTCCACTCCCACCACGCATTCCGTTTGGCACCTCAGGTCCAGACTCCAGAAGCTGAGTCCAATGCAGACCATCACAGCACCCCGTGTCACCACCGCTACTACTGGCTGCTACTGTAAACATTTCCGGGGCAGACTGATTCTCTTGCACCTTTGAACCCGCCTCGCGTGGACCGGAATGTTCTCGCTGGCCTAGCGTTGAAATACCTGCATTGTCGTCGACTCACACCAAGAACGTCTTACAAACTACTCGACTTGTAATAGACGATACTGCGAAGCTACGCTCCGTACTACGCACAATCAAGCGCAACAACCATGGCGCTCGCAGGCTCCGCCATTGCTTCTGGCCAGAAGCGAGGTCGAGAGGTATCGCCGGCCTTGCCGAGCCCCTTAGCAGCCTTAGCCGCCGGTGACGTTCTGCGCGAGCAGCTTCAGCGACTGCTCGTCGCGCGCCTGCAGCAGCAGTATCAGCGGATACAAGCGGTCCAAGCAACTCAAGCGGCCCAAGCAGCCCAAGCGCCCGCGTTACTCGAGTCAACCACTTTCGCCTCAAGCGCGGCAGAGCCGCTGCTCGTGAGCCAGCCTAACCTGACCAAGAGGCAGCGATTAGAGTCGTACCTGTCGTCCTTCGTCCTGCCAGCACCAGATTCACCAGCGAAGCACGGCGCTCCCGTCGTTCCGTGCACCCTTGCTAACGCCGGCGCTCAAGGCCGACATTGCGGCTGCGAATTGGCGGCTTCGGTCGGCGCCGGCGCGTCCACTAGTAGCCTGCGTCAGTCTTTCTACGTCGATGCGTGTGCGCCCAGCGAGCTCGTGCGACGATCGTCGTCATCGCTGATGGCGTCGGAAGGAAGCCTCGCAATCAACGACGCCGCGAACACGGCGATAGGGTTACCGCAGTGGCAGTGGTCGCATGCGTCCCGCGTTCCGTCGCAAGCTCCTTCGTGCGGCGTCGATGTGCGGCAGGGGACGAATCAGCCGCAAGTTCGTGTGCTTTTGGAACAATTGCTGCGGAGGCAGCAGGAGGCGCAGCAACAACACCAAGCGGTGGCACAGGAGCGATATGTCACGCAGAGCCAGCAAGCCTGGGGTTGCAGTGGTATTGAGAGTCACGCTTACGCCCCCGTCGCAAGACAGTCGCCTTCCGTCGCAGAGTCGCAACACGAACACATCGCGGCGGCGTTGCACGCTAAGGTGCAGTTGGCTGTGGACGAGGCGTCTGCGAGCAGGCGAGCAATCGCGGCTCTCGAGGCGAAAGTCGCCATCCTATCAGGCGAGCTCGTTCTGTCGCAAAGAAAGCTAGCAGATTCTCGGTCGCAGAGCGCCGCACTAGAAGCGAGCCTTGCGAGGTCCCAGTTGGCGCTGGTGCAAGCGACGACTGGGGAGGGCTATGGCGACAGCGAGGAGGTGATAGCATGGAACCGTCCTGACCAGCCTTGCGCTTCGTCGTGCCATTAGCTCACCAACGCAAGAGAGCCTTCGGGTTTATATCATATAGCACTAGGTTCTTCATATTCGCATCGCGATCTCTACACAGATCATTCATACAAGTATTGTACAGCCTAATAGTAAAGGTCCGAGTTTCCACTGCAACCCCAGTCTTCCTACGTCCTTGCTGGTCCAAGCTCAGAGATTACCTCAACGGGCCTTGCACTCGCATGGGCCGCAGGCAGAAACCCGTCCTGGCTGCACCCGCCGCCGTCAAATTGACTCACGCACTTCACTCCTTCGCCAATCGGATCGCCAGTCGGATTCGTCGACATTAGTGACGTCGCAAACGGCACCCCCGCGCTGCTTAGCGTGCCGAGCGCCCCTCCTGTGCTCGCCGCAACAGCTCCCAGCCCACCGTACCCGCCATACCCGGCCCCTCCGCCGCCTAGGGCCGTGATAGTATTGGTCGCTGACGTGGACCCGAATTGGTACGTGGGCGTGATGCCATTGGTCGTCGCCGTCTGCGACTGCGTGTTGGTCTGGTACGCCGTCGCGCCCCGCCGCTGGTACTGCGAGTAAGGCGTCGCGATGACACCGGGAGTTCCAGGCCCGGTTTTGGTGGCATCCGCGGTTTGGTCGTTGACTGTGTTCTGGTTGTTGATGCTGCCGATGTTGCCGCTCTGCGCGTATGCACCCATGCCCGCATTTGGTCCCACCTGCTTGCGGCTGGTCGCGCTGCTGCTGTCAAACACGTGCGTGACCACTTGGAGGGCTGCGGCGATCCGCATGGACTCGAATTTTCCTGCAGGGAGGATGATCCAGAAGGGAGCGTTCTTTGTGTACAATGACCACCTAAGAAAAACGTCATTGTGGTGGTAGCAAACCAAATGCGTGCTTCATATGTTTACAAGAATAAAACTTACTTCCTGCATCGGCATGGTGCTCAAGCAGCCGTCTGCCGAGCAGACTAAGTCCAGGAATACCGAAGGACGGAACGGCTGTGTTGAACTGACTCTGCGCGTTTCGCGAAAGGTCCAGGTTACCAGAGTTGCCCCTCTCGCCGTTACTTACGAGTCCCAGGGCTGCTGCTGTAGAAAACATCTCCGCCTGCATCTCACGCAGCAGTGCGGGAGCAGCACCAGGGAGGTAGGTCCAGTAGTTGAAGGCCTGTTTTCTGTTGAATGTAAAATGGGATTGAAAGCAAATTACTAGCGGTAGTAGCGTTGTACCGTATGTTGTTTTATCTAGTAGTGTCTATTCGGACGAGGTTAGTAAATGATGAATGCATGACGTAATGTGCCAAAAGGAAGGCTTCGTAGCAGAAAAGCGTACCTAGAGGTAGGAGAGAAGATGACACAAGGCGCGCTGACGCCCGACAGCCATTGCCAGCGCCTAGCAATTCCAACTGCAGTGACTGGGGCAGTTCTTGATGGCCATGGTCTGGCCGCAGCAGAGCAATGATCTGCCACCGAGGCTGCGTAGACTAGCACAGGTAGTACCCATAGCATAAGTTTACTGAATATTGGACGCGCCGTCATGCTGAAGCCCTTACAGTCCTCGTTTTTAGCTCAGCAACCTAGTCAGAATGTGCTAGACGAAGAGAATATATGCCCCCAGAGAATGAGGCTATGGATGGACAGATGACGGAGCTTACGAAACAAGAATTTGCAGTTGTTTCGCCCGAGCTTAAATTCCGAAAATGTGCACTGGTTCTGGAAATTGACGAGCCGCGAAGACCGTGCGCTTCGAGGAGACTTTCATTTTGAGCTTGACGAAGATTTGAGGCGGAGAGCATCGCTACAGTCAAACTGGAAAATGTGCAGCCACGAGGCGTTTATCTCCTAGTTTACACACATATAAATAATTCGGAGTGGTATATTGAGCAAGCAGCCACGCAAGATGCAGTGCATGCCTATCCAGCTCCTACTGCATAATGACAGTCCATTGTCCAGCCAACAAACATCCACTAGACTTCCAAACAAAGTGTACCCAAGAGCACATGATCAGGCCAGAACCGGTATGTTAAAACAGACCTCATAACTAGAGCATCACGGGCCTGGCCCGGCACAGAGTTGCATGTAATAAGTTTTTTCAGACTGCGAGGGCAGAGGTGAGCGTAGAGGCGAAATTCTGTGCCATGGTCTGTGCTGCAAACTGTTGGATCTGCTTCTTGGCATCTGTGCATGTTCATGCATAACCACACACAAACACAGAACATGCATATGAGCATGCACATACGCATGCATATCGGACATACCATACCATGCAGAAGCAATTGAAATAAATACACACTTAGACATGCGCATAAAAATTGGTAACATACTCGCACATGCATGATCGAGCCAGCAGATACAGCAAGGGGAAGAGCATTTGCAGGTGGGGGGGACGGGTGCGCAGGGGTGGGGGGAGCAGGGGTGGGGAACGTATCGGCGGGGGCCCACCTCGGCGGCACTTGGTGTAGCCGTAGATGTTGGCAGCGCCGAGCACAAGAGCCACGATGATGATGAGCAGATAGTCAAAGCTCAGCCGGATGACCTGGATGAGCCCCAGCCCCAGCCATAACGCTGGCTGCTCATGTGCATGCAGGCGGGCATGCAGGAGGGCATGCAGGCGGGCATGCAAGAGGGCATGCAGGCGGGCATGCAGGAGGGCATGCAGGCGGGCATGCAGGAGGGTAGGCAGGAGGGCAGGCAGGCAGTCACATGCGTGTTACATGCACATGTTGCCAGAACAGAGAAATGGGCCCGCACACACATAACCAAACACATGCATCCATGCACTCACACGCGCACACGGTGGGATATGCACACACACATGCGTGCATGCATAGACCATGCAGAACGACATGCACACACACATGGGGTCACCAAGGGTAGGAATAGAAAAGGCCCAGGATGACACTGTCGAAAATTGTCAAGGTGGATTCCGAATGGGCTCAAAAAAATTCAAGGTGAATTACCGCACTATCATACTGTGCAGTAAAGGATCGTCCTACCATGTTACCGTATTGGCGGTAAGAGCTGTGTTACCACATTACCGTACTGTGCAGTGAAAGCTGTGTTACCACATTACCGTACCGTGCAATAGAGTGTCCACCAGAAGACCCATGCGTCCGTCTTGCTCAGCTGGTCCAATGACTGCAGAGAGAGAATGGGAGGAGAGGGTGGAGAGGGAGGAGAGGGGTGAGGGGGAGGAGAGGGAGGGAGGGGAGGAGAGGGATGAGAGGGATGTGAGGAAAGAGAGGGAGAAGAGGGATCAGAGAGAAAAGGGGGGAGAGGGAGGAGAAGGAGGAGGGGAGGAGGAGGAGGAGAGGGAGGTGAGGAATGAGAGGGAGGAGAGGGAGGAGGGGAGGGATGAGAGAGAGAGAATGGAAGAGAGATAAATTTGAAGTGAGGAGAGGGAGAGATATAGCGAGGAGAGGAAATTAAAGAGTGAAGACAGCAGAACATACAGCGAGTGAGGAGAGAAACAAGCAGTACAGAGAGCTTGAGCAGAGCGTCTCCCTCACAACATCCAACACCCTGCCCTGCACCACGCCCCGCCGTACCCCACCACCCTCCACCATCTTCTACCACCTTCCACCGCACTCCACTCACGGCCTGGTCGAGCGACTCAAAGTGCCAGAGCGTCTCCCCGGCCTCGTCGGTCTCGTTCCACCAGCGCAGCCCCACGAGGATGCGGCCGCTCACGTTCTTCACCACCCAGAAGTCGAGCGCGATGAGCAGCACGCACACCACGAAGTCAATCACAAAGCTGCTCGTGAACCAGCTGCCCAGCAGGTAGAAGCCAAGAGCTGCCGCCTGTGGGTGGGGAGGAAGACGGGTTGTGTGGGGATTGGATGAGATGAGGGAGGTGCGGTGGAGGTGGGATGAGAAGTCGAGAGCAATGAGCAGCACGCACACCACCAAGTCAATCACAAAGCTGCTCGTGAATCAGCTGCCCAGCATGTAGAACCCCAATGCGGCTGCCTGTGGGGTAGAGGGGTGGAGAGCGGTGTGGGGATGAGATGAGGGGGTGCTGGTGCCTGGCGAGAAGAGGAAGTCACGAGCGATGAGAGGCCCGGCATGTGGAACCCCAGCACTGCCGCCTGTGGAACCCCAGCACTGCCGCCTGTGGAACCCCAGCACTTCCGCCTGTGGAACCCCAGCACTGCCGCCTGTGGAACCCCAGCACTGCCGCCTGTGGAACCCCAGCACTGCCGCCTGTGGAACCCCAGCACTGCCGCCTGTGGAACCCCAGCACTGCCGCCTGTGGAACCCCAGCACTGCCGCCTGTGCAACCCCAGCACTGCCGCCTGTGCAACCCCAGCACTGCCGCCTGTGCAACCCCAGCACTGCCGCCTGTGCAACCCCAGCACTGCCGCCGGTGCATTGTGGGAAGGAATGGGAGGGGGGGCGGTGAGTCGACTCTAAAGTAGGAAAGGGGTATATGACGACCCAGAATATAGGAAGCAGGGGCATGGGTGGACTTGTCACCCGGCTGCCCAGCCGGGAATGCTGGTGGCGACTGCGGGAATAGGAGATAGGAAAGCATGGCGAGAGCGGTGAGGAATGGAATGAAGATGGGATTAGGGGCGGCGATAGAGAGAAGAGTCGGATGTGGTGTGTGGTGTGTGGTGTGTGGTGTATGATTATGTGATGCGAGGAAGTGGCATGCACATTAAGGCAAGTGTGCATCTATGCATAGCGTGAGTGAGGGTATGTATGTGTGTGTGGACTTGCACACAGTGTGAGTGAGGGTATGTATGTGTGTGTGGACTTGCACACAGTGTGAGTGAGGGTATGTATGTGTGTGTGGACTTGCACACAGTGTGAGTGAGTGGGTGAGCGCACGACATTGAAGAAGCAGGTGATGTGAGGATGTGGTGTGCAGTGTGAGAGTGAGCGAGTGTGAGTGCATGACGGAAGTATGCATGTTTGAGTGAGTGAGTGAGTGCATGAAGCATGCATGCATGTGGGAGCGAGCGCGCGCCTGACCTTGAAGAAGCAGGTGAAGAAGACCACCTGCGGATGGGCGTACTTGGGTCCTTCTGCCTGCTCACATGGACACGGAGAGAGAGAGGAAGCGGGATGGGCAGCAAGGAGGCGTCAGAGGCAAAACACCGCCTCTACGAAGGCCGACCGGACAATGTAGGCTTCTTTGCGTTGGCGGTTGAGACGTATGGGGAACTTTGGGTTTTCTTCCCGACAGTTCACGAGGCCAGCAGAATGATATTCATAAGGGCGCCTTCACATTCCACCCCCTTCCCACCTGTCCCCTTCCCACCTGTCCCCTTCCCACCTGTCCCCTTCCCACCTGTCCCCTTCCCACCTGTCCCCTTCCCACCTGTCCCCTTCCCACCTGTCCCCTTCCCACCTGTCCCCTTCCCACCTGTCCCCTTCCCACCTGTCCCCTTCCCACCTGTCCCCTTCCCACCTGTCCCCTTCCCACCTGTCCCGTGATGGTAGGCCATGACGCTGACTCACCCCTACCCCATTCGCCCAAATCCTGTGCAGCATGTTACATGCAATGCAACCACAGAGTGCCGCACCTGAGGCTGCATGCTGTCTGTGCCGCGTGTGGCGCCAAACCACACCACACGTCGTTTGAGTCAACTCAAAAGTCGAATGCACTCAAGTGACCTCCCACCCACGAGCCGTGCACTGCCCCTCTTGCTGGAGGCAGGATGAAGAGAAGGGGGGAGGGAGTGGTGGAGACCGAGTGGGGGAGAGAGAGTAGGGGAAGTTAGGGGGGGGAGTTTAACGCTATGGCGCTTGGTGGACACGTGGCTGGCCCTGACACGTGGCTGGCCCTTACACGTGACTGGCCCTGACACGTGGCTCACCCTGACACGTGGCTGGCCCTGACACGTGGCTCACCCTGAACCTGCCCCCACCAAGGGTGCTGCTGAAGGCGGCACCACGACACGGATAGGTGAAGGGACAACCGACGGGGAGAGGAGTGCGGGGTTGAGGGGGAGGCGCAGAGCGGAGGGGAAAGGGAAGTAGGGAGGGAAGGCAGGAGGGGGAAGAAGAGGCCGGCAGGGACGGGCGGGTGGCGAGCGGCAGGTGGCGAGCGGCAGGTGGCGAGCGGCAGGTGGCGAGCGGCGGGACGAAAAAGCATCCGAGAAGCGCGGCAGGAGGAAGGCATGGGGCGGTCCCACAGAGGGGGTAGGCAGAGAGGAGTTGCGGGGCACGGATGGGAGGGAGGAAAAAGTAGAGAAGAAACGACGAAGAAAAGGTGGGAAGGTAGGGGAAGGAATGAGGAGGAGCGGTGGGAGAGAACGGCGCAGGGGGGAGCGAAGGCAAGGGGGGGAAGGCGATGAACAAGAGAGGCGAGGGCGCGGAGAGAGGAAGGCGCGGAGAGATGAGGGCGCGGAGAGATGAGGGCGCGGAGAGATGAGGGCGCGGAGAGATGAGGGCGCGGAGAGATGAGGGCGCGGAGAGAGCGCGGGGAGGGCGCGGAGAGGCGAGTGCGCGGAGAGGGGCGGAGGGGGAACACGGGACTTACAAGCAGCTACACGTCGCAGGAGGTGCGTGCGATCGAGGTGTGTCGAGGTGCGCGATGGCGACCGTGGTGACCAGATCACGGCAGGTGCGGCTTAGGCAAGCGGGAATACCGTGAAGAGAAATAGGCCAAGGGAGTTGTGTCTCACAGCACACAGCGGACAGTCCCGCCTGGCGAGTGGTAGAATTTGGTGGATGCAGAGATCTGACACCAAAAAGAAAATCTGGTCTGGAGAGGTTGTACAGGCTAAATCTGCGAATCATAGTAAGTGTAAGGAATTTCAACCCCATCTATAGAAAGACCTTGGCGGGGATTTTCCGAGCGTATCACGTCAGGTAGGTTCATCCTACATTTTTGCCCCGAACCACTTCCGTGTCGCCACCGCACAAATCGCCACCTGTCCGAGCCTCTTTTACCCCGAGGTCCTCGCCTAGTTTGAACCTACCTTTATTTTCCTCGTTTTAGGCATTTCGTAGGACACTACAAGTTTGGAATCTCATAGTAGTTTGATGGCGAGCAAAACCTTATCTTGGCGGAAGTGGTGCGGAATTGCAGAGGTGAATGCCACTCCCCCAGGAATCGTGACACTACAGGAATGCCATGATGGCACGGCGACTGTCGCCGTCGACTTCCGCCAGCCCGCGGCTGCTGCTCGCCCGTTGCCTCGCGCCGTTCTTCCTCGCGTCCGCGCTTCTAGTAGTCCTCGTGCTTTCGCCGCACGCCGGCGCCAGTGCGGCGGAGGGGCAGCGGACGTTTCGCGAACACGGCGACTTGCCCCAGTCGCACGGGTCGCACGGTGAACGAAACGGGCGTCGCGTCAGCCTCGCCGAGATTGTTTCTCCGCGCGCATCCGCCGCTGGAGCAATTCTCGCGGACAATCAGCGTAATTTCCTCTGAGCCTCCCGAGAGGCGCTCTTGCCACGCCCTCAACGGGAGACGCACGGCCGACAGTGGATAGGCGAGCGCGCCCCCGCTCGCTCCTCCCACCCTTCGCCATGCCGCTCACTCTGCTATGCGTTGCTTCCGCCTGCCTGCCTGCCACCTGCCGCCTGCCTGCCGCCGCAGCGCTGCATCTCAAGCGCTGCTTGCTTGAGACCAGTCTACCTCAATGCCTCCCCCCTCAATGCCTCCCCCCTCAATGCCTCTCCCCTCAATGCCTCTCCCCTCAATGCCTCTCCCCTCAATGCCTCTCCCCTCAATGCCTCTCCCCTCAATGCCTCTCCCCTCTATGCCTCTCCCCTCAATGCCTCTCCCCTCAATGCCTCTCCCCTCAATGCCTCTCCCCTCAATGCCTCTCCCCTCAATTCCTCTCCCCTCAATGCCTCTCCCCTCAATGCCTCTCCCCTCAATGCCTCTCCCCTCAATGCCTCCCCCCTCAATGCCTCTCCCCTCAATGCCTCTCCCCTCAATGCCTCTCCCCTCAATGCCTCTCCCCTCAATGCCTCTCCCCTCAATGCCTCTCCCCTCAATGCCTCTCCCCTCAATGCCTCTCCCCTCAATGCCTCTCCCCTCAATGCCTCTCTCCTCAATGCCTCTCCCCTCAATGCCTCTCCCCTCAATGCCTCTCCCCTCAATGCCTCTCCCCTCAATGCCTCTCCCCTCAATGCCTCTCCCCTCAATGCCTCTCCCCTCAATGCCTCTCCCCTCAATGCCTCTCCCCTCAATGCCTCTCCCCTCAATGCCTCCCCCCTCAATGCCTCTCCCCTCAATGCCTCTCCCCTCAATGCCTCTCCCCTCAATGCCTCTCCCCTCAATGCCTCTCCCCTCAATGCCTCTCCCCTCAATGCCTCGTCCCTCAATGCCTCTCTCCCCGCCACACTAAGCCCGCTGAGGCCGTCACAGTTCCAGCACGTCTCTGACTCTCGCGCGACAATTCCCCAACCCGCGAATCTGTCTGTGCTTCCACCCAAGCCGTGCATGCTCCTCCCGCCCATCTTTCCTGCCTCCCTGTTTGCCTGCTTGCACTTCATTGGACCATTGTGTGCTGGGTGCGTGCATGCACGTCCATCATATGAGTGCATGTGTGCATGCGTGCATGCGCATGGGTGCATGTGTGCATGCGGGCATGGGTCCATGGGGGCATGAGTACGTGCGTGTGTGGGTGCATGGGTGCATGTGGACAACGGTGCATGCATGCCTCCGCGTATTGCATGGATGCATGGCATGGGTGCATGCATGTGTGCATGGGTGCATACATGTGTGCACGGATGCATGCTTGTGTGCATGGGTGCATGCATGCACGAGTGCATACGTGCATGCGCCATGGCACCAGTGCAAGCACTGGTGGAGCTGAGCGCAGCATGGCAGGTGTGGGAGGGGAAGAACAATGCGTCGCGGGGCTGCAGCGAGTGGGAGTACATCACATGCAACCAGCGCGGCTTCATCACTTCCATGTGCGTTGCTCTGCTGCAAGGCAGTAGAGAGCGAGAGGCGTAGTAGAGAGAGTGGGTTGAGAGGAGAGGTGTTTGTTCTGCTGCAAGGCGGTAGATAGAGGGGGTGTTTGGGAAAATGAGAGGAGATGCAGGCAGGAGGCAGAAGCGTCCGTGCATGTGTGTGTGTGTGTGTGTGTGTGTGTGTGTGTGTGTGTGTGTGTGTGTGTGCGTGTGTGTGTGTGCATGCGTACATCTGTGTGCATGCACACGTGGTCACAAAACCTCAATGTTTCATTCTCGTTGCACCAACGCCCCTCCCTCCTCCCGCAGTGACTTGTCCGAGTACGCTATGGTCAATGCCACCATGCCGCTCACCCTCTTCTCGCGCATGCCCTACCTCCGACGCCTGTACGTCTCTGCCGCCCACTTTGTTTGTCTGCACTGCACCGCTGCTTCCCTGTCCTGCCTCCGCCCGAGCCCCCCTTCTGCGTGAAATGAGTGACACGCCTCAAAGCTCACCTGAGCCCCCTATTTGAGAATTCTAAAAAAGCACACGCCCTTTCTGCTTCTGAACCTTTCTCGCTCTTTTCCTGATTCTCTATCTGCAGATTTAGCCTCCTCCCCCCGCTGTCCTCCCCACGTCATGCTAAATACAGTCTATTTCTGAGCCGACTAAAAAATAGTACAGCAAGTTCAGCCAGGGGATCGCTCCCTGCAGCAGCAGCCCCTCTGGTCCTGGATGCACTGGAAACACATATTCCTGTTCCCCCCCTCTCTTTCCCAGCCCTAAGCTTTCAGCGTGAGTTGGCACACCACCCAGGAACCCCATCATGTGTGTGCAGTGCGAAATGGCAAGCAAGCCGTGCTCTTCACTCCACCTGCACCTGCTCTTCACCACCACACCCGCTTCCGCCCCTCCTCCCACCCACCCACCCGGCTCCCACCCTCCTCTCATCTCATCCTCCTCCCACCCGCCCCCCACCCTGTTCCCACCCTCCTCTCATCCTCCTCTCACCCTCCTCCCACCTTCCTCCCACCCTCCTCTCACCCTCCTCCCACCCTCCTCCCACACTCGTCCCCTCCAGTGTGCTTGCAAACAACTACTTTCTCCACGGCTCCATCACCCACCTCGCTCTCCCCACCTCCCTCCGCATGCTGTAAGCATGGCACAGGCGACATGCCTTCCCCACGTCTGCCTTCCCCACGTCTGCCTTCCCCACGTCTGCCTTCCCCACGTCTGCCTTCCCCACGTCTGCATCTGACCACCATGCATTTTCACACCATCACACCTGCCTTCCGTCTATTCATCCCCCCCCCTAGCTTTCTTCAGCCACTGCCTGCCTTCACTACCCCCCTCCCCCAGTTTTCCTTTCCATGTTCCGTACCTCACGTACCCTTCCACCTCCGCCCCTTTCCCCCAGGGACCTTTCTTTGACATATGTGTCCGGTTCCCTGCCATCTGCTATCTTCTCGCTCCCAGCTCTTTCACACCTGTACGCCCCTTGTCCACACCTGTACGCCCCTTGTCCACACCTGTACGCCCCTTGTCCACACCTGTACGCCCCTTGTCCACACCTGTACGCCGCTTGTCCACACCTGTACAAGCCTTTGCTGCGAACCTTTGAGGTCCACATCTGTTTTGCATGCGTTTTCTCCGTATCCACATCTGAATAAAAATCTTACATGAATTGCAACGTCATACTTGCTTGCTATATTCACTGTGGGTTACCAGGAAAATCTTGTCCCCCTTCATTTTTCGCCTGCAACCGTGTGGCTATTCAATCATTCATTCATTTCCCTGTCCTCATGACGTTTTTTTGCGATCAGAGATTTTTCTAGGACTTCAATATTTGGAAGCTTGCCATCCACCCTCGGCCGTCTGTCTCGTCTCACATACCTGTCAGTGTTGCGCACATGCATTGGAGGGCTGCAATTATGCACACGCACACATGATGATTATTATGTTTGGTTGCAACTGTTGAGAGATTGATATTGGTGTTTAGTGAGAAGCATTGCAGCCAATCCGGTGCACAAGCTGGTCACACACACATGCGCACAAGCTGGTCACACACACATGCGCACACATGCACACACATGCGCACAAATGCTCACTCATGCACACACATGCGCACACATGCACACACATGCATACACATGCACACATCCCATCCCCCTTTTCACTCAGAGATGTCGGTGCAGAGAACATCACCGGGCGTGTGGAGGACTTCTCATGGATCTCAAGCCTCACCAACTTGAACACACTGTATGTCCTGCATTTTATGCGACAATGCAGCAAATGTCATGATGTGAACTAGGGATGAGCAAGGTGGCGAACACCTGTTCGGTTCGCCTCGAACGTGTACGAGGCGAACCGAACAGGCTTTGTTTTTTAGCTCAAATCGTTCGCCGAACAGTGTTCGATGTTCGCCCGAACACGTTCGTGTTCGGGCCGCTGCTGAAATTTGCCCGCGACGAACACGAACAGTGTTCGAGGTTCGCCCGAACACGCCTCCACAGGCGAACAGCGAACACCTGTTTTTTCCTAAACTGTTCGCCGAACCGAACAGTGTTCGGTTCGGCAAAAGAGGGTGTTCGACAAGGGGCGAAGACGAACATGTTCGTGTTCGCCCTTTGCTCATCCACATTGTGAACTTAGGAAGCATAGCTAGGGACGAAGATCGATCTAGGCTAGGGTAGAAGCGAGGGTGTCGAGAAGCTTGAAATAAGGGGTTTGATTAGAGGCAAGGGGTACAAGATATAGTGAGACAAGAGCAAAGGTACACCACCATACAAAGAGTAGCAGCACTACACAACAGCTACACTAGCAAGCAGATATATAATAAATATATGTTCTAACACAAATCAGCATAAAATCATACCCAACATTACATGACACTGTCAGTCACACTGTCGGTCACTGTCAGTCACTGTCAGTCACTGTCAGTCATTGTCAGTCACTGTCAGTTAGGGATGAGCAGAGGGCGAACTTCGAGTTCGCCCCCCCTCGAACAGGGCCATTTCCCGAACCGAACACTGTTCGGTTCGGCGAACTATTTGGCCTACGGCAGGTGTTCGCCGTTCGCCCCAGGGGGCGAACAATTTGTTTCTAAGGGCAAACTCGAACATGTTCGCCTCGAACATGTTCGAGTTCGCCCTGGGGGGAACTTCGTTATAGTCACAGTGGTCAGACAGGGGATTTGGAGGGTCGGGTAGATAGATAGGGGTGTGGAGGGTGTCTCTGTGTTCATGCAACGCACACAAGCATACGACACCATCATGTTCTATGAATATAAAAGTCAATGTCAAATAAAGTCCTACGCCTGAACTCCACTGCCACTATCAACAACAGCCTGCTCCCCGCCAGCGGTGTCGCCAGCACCCACCCGCTCCTGCTCCTCCTCCCCCTCCTCCTCCCCCTCCTCCTCCCCCTCCTCCTCCTCCTCCTCCTCCTCGTCGTCCTCCTCCTCCCCCTCGCCTTCAATGGCGAACTCTGGCGGTGCGACGCCCTTTGCACGGCGGCCCTCGCCTATCCTCTGTCCAGGGTGTGAACTGTACCATGATTTGAGAATCATGACAGCTCACGTCCTCTGAGAGGCCAGGCGGTGCCGCTTCCAGGAAATGAGGTTGCGGCCGAGGGAGAACACGTGCTCGCTCGAAGCGGACGTGGCAGGGATGGCGAGATAATCCCGGGCCATGCGCCTCAGCGTCTGCATGTTGGTGGCGGTGCGCCAATACTCCAACGCTGACACGTCGCACCGCACCCTCTCAGATAAGTACCTGCTAACCTCGTCATCCTGCACCATCCCACCACTCCCCGCCTCCTGGCTCGCTGACAGACGCGCCGCTAGTCGTCGGCGACTCGGGAGAAACTGCGCGTCTTCGTCGTCATCCGCCGTGTCCCCCTCCTCCTCCTCCGTCACAGTGGCAAGTGGGGTCGGCCGAGGTGCAAGCGCTGTAGCCCGGGCCTGGTACTCGGTCACGCGGTCGCGTACCAACTGGATCACCTCGCCCGACGAGGGACGCGGCCTCGCCCTCCGGTCGGTCTCGGGATGCAGCGTCTCCCGGTGTGGGTCGTCGAACCACGCCGCCTTCATGGAAGGGTCCAGGAAGGTGGCGATCCACAACTCGTTGCTGGACATCAGTTCATACTTCTTCACGAGACCCAGCGCCGCCTCAATCATCGGCTTCAGCGTAGCCGATGGCCCCTTGGCAAGGCGCGACTTCATAGCGCCGATCAGGCCGTTGTAGTACGGCACCACCATCGCCACTGTAGGGTACGCCGCACCCTCCGCCGCCTTTGAGACTTTGGCGAATGGGCTGAGGAACGTCTTGACAGCATGCAGAGTCTCCCAGTCTGCGTCCGTCAGGCGCAGGCTATCCACCTTCGCCTTGTTAGCCTTCGACAGGCCCTGTCGGGTAGAGGGTAGGGGTTGGCGGGTGTTAAGATGGAAACTAGGGTTATTGAGGTTGTTGGGGTCCGATAACATACATAAAGCATGGCCAACAGTGGTGGAAGTGATAGAACACAACACCCCCACATACCCACATATTAGACCACATACACAACACCTGTCACACACACCTTTGTCTGGGCAAAGAAGACAGTGATGGGTTCCTGCAGAACCCCAGCTCGCTCGACCATGTCGCGGGTCGACCCCCAGCGCGTGGGACTGTCCTACACCAGCTTCAACGCCGGCTTCGGTTTGGCGGGGTTGGCCTGCGCGTTCAGGGTCCGCTGAAGGCCCAAGAACTTCCCTGAGCGCTGCGGAGAGAAGCCAATCCACGACGCCATCTCTCTCAGAATCCTCAACAACTTGCGGATGGCAGCCACTGCGAGAGCTGCCTTCACTGCAAGGTTGATCACGTGTGCCAAACACCTGCGCACGACACACAACATTAATGGCGGAGAGAAGGGGGAGTGTGAGTACACATGGCCATAGCGAGCCACAAACGCATACCAGACCTCGCACACCCTGCAACTCGAGCCGCTAGGGCCCACCCACTCATACAACCAGAAGTTGTTCACGCAGGAACGACACACCCAAACTCCCACATAGCCAGCCCACGCACACCCCCATTCTTACCGAAAGTGCATGCGCGAGTTGAAGAAGCACTGACCACCTCCCACCTCCGACATCCACCTGAAAGCGGCAACGTTGCTAGAGGCGTTGTCTGAGGTGAAACCAAAGACAGCGCCACTCCAACCCCCAATGCACCACCGTCTCCTCTACCACCCTCGCCATCTGCTTGCCCGTGTGCCGCCCGTGAATCTCGCGGAACTCAAACACCATTGTGCGCAATTGGAAATTCTCGTCGATCCAGTGACCCGTTACCACTAGCCACGCCCTGTTGTTGGGTGCCGTCCACATGTCGATGGTGAACGACACCCTGCACCCCAACTCCCCCTCCTTCGCCAGCATCTCCGCAATGGCTGACTGGAGTGCGGCAGCCGCATAGACCACAGTGTCGCGGGAAACCGTCCAGCGCGAGGGGATGAAGTTCTTCTGCGCGCAGTTGCGGTTTAGGAGGATCAAAAGCTCACGAAACTGGTGAGGGGTAAAGACACAGAGGGTGAAGTGAGTCAACGTATGGGGGATGGGTTTGACATAATATGGCACAGGGCCACACGCTAATAATCAAAACACAACGGGCCAGACACTTCCACTGTCCACATACTGCCAATCATGCATGGGATGGGGCACTCACAGCCTCGGCCTCGACGATGCGGAAGGGGAGGTCGCAGGTGACCACCAGCTTGGCGATCGCCTGCCGTAGCTCCACAGAGGTCAGCTTGGTTGTCATGAACCGCTCGATCCTGCTTGACCCTTCACCTCCACCAAACGCCTTCCCTTTCTGCTTGGCCAGATGCGGCCAAGACTTGGCATGCGGCCACCGTTCGACGTAGCCATCCGGCATAAGCATGGGCATTTGACCCGACCCGGCCCGACCCGTCCCGTTGAGGGCGACCCGTTAGCTTAACGGGTCGGGTTAGCGGGTCGGGTTTGACTCTGTTTTGGTGACCCGACCCGCCCCGTGGGAACGGGTATTTGTGACCCGTTACCGGGTCGGTTACACCACGGGTCGGGTCGGGTCGGATCAAAATATGCTACATAGCAGCAGGGTATGGGGGTTAGGTCTGATCGCGATGCTGAACCTGTCCTAATGCGGTGCCGCGATCGCGCATATGCGGGGCGGCGATCGCGCCAATGCGGGGCCGTGATCGCGCTGAGCAAACGCGGGGCCGAGATCGCGCTATTGCGGGGACGCGATCCCGCCAATGCGTGGCTGCACGCGCGCTGCTGCGCCCCTGGTCGTGCGACGCTGCGAAATGGCGGGAGCGCCAAACGCTAACCTGAAGATAAAATGCAGTTTAAATAGTGCTAACATTGAAGAGTGAAGACTGTATGAGGCTCCCTAGCTGCAGCGCAGAAGTACTAGCCTTGATCTAGTCTAGCGACTAGATCAGAATGTCGAGGGAAAAAAAACCTAAAAAACCAACCGATGTTCAACCCCTACCCTAATCCGAAAACGGATCGGGTAACCCTGTCATTTGACTGGGTACGCGACCCAGACGGGACGGGTCAACCCGACCCGGCGGGTCGCAAAAACCCGTCACTAAATCACAGTGACGGGTCACGGGTCGACCCGACCCGTCTGGGTTTTCCCGACCCGACCCGGGCGGGTCGGCCTTCTCAGCATTCCTGACCCGACCCGCCCTAAAGGGCGGGTCGGGTCGGGTTACCCGACCCGTCCGGGTCAAATGCCCATGCTTAATCCGGCACACCCTTGTAGCCCCCACGCGGAAACGTCTCCCCTGGCAACTGAATGGACGGGGTGTGGTAACGGTGATACCACACGTGCATGTGCGCGGTGTGATAGCTCGCGAAGTGCCGCTCGTCGGGTGTGGTTGTGGATTGCTTCCACGAAATCCTGTCTGTGCAAATTTTGCACTGACGCTTCTCGTCTGCCCCTTTCGATCCGAACATCATAACTTGCCACTCGGGTTTCTTACTCCCCTTGCCAGTCCCCTTACTACTCTCTGACCCTCCGTCCTCGTCTAGGAACTCCGGAGCAATCACACCGTCCCCCAAAGGCTCCCCAGTGAACGTGGCGGGATACGCCCGCTCCCTCAATTTGTTTGCCTTCTTCCTAACCCTCGGACCCGCCAAGGACGCGGGCTTTCTCCCCACCTTAACCCCCACGCTCCCTCCACCTTCAGCCACATGCTGTGATCCCGCCTCTGTCGCCGACCCTACTCCACCCCCCTCTCCCACCTCCTCCCCCACCGCCTCCTGCACCTCTTCTGGCTCTAACTCATCCATCTCATGATCCTCATCATCATCCCCCCCTTCCCCACCGCCATGCTTCTCGGGATCCCACCCCTTCTCACTGTCATCCCCGCTCCCCTCATTCTCCTCATCCTCCTCGCCCTCACCCGCCTCATCCTCATCCTCCTCCTCACTGACACTCTCTGGCTGCGTCTGCCCCGAAGGAGGGGGTCGAGGGCCGTCGTAACGGAAAGACTGACGAGATGCTGGCGCCGCTACGGAAAGAAACCCCCCGATGAAGCAAGCGCCGGCTCCTCCAGGTCCATCCCCTACTCGCCCCTCCATAGGTCGTGGTGGAGAACCTGGTGCACCGCCCCGAGTGCTGCCTGCACCTAACCCTACGGATCTACCATGTCCGGAAGCCATAACTCCACCCTCGGCCCTAAAACCCTAAACCCACCTCGAAGCAACGGTCACGTGCCGAGTAGAACCACAGTCCTAAACGTATTCGAGCACGGGTAGGTTTCTGAAATGCCCGTCCTGAACCCTACGGAGTTGACAACGCGCTGTTTGATCCTGGTGCTATTCTACCTTATAATCACCCTACACACACTTGGCTCTAGGAAAACCCTAGAGCTAATGTGCGTGGATATTAGTAGTAGTAACTGCATGTATGCTACAAGTTGTAGGGCTAGGGCGGGTGTGAGAGGGAACCCTAGGCTAGGCTGTAAAAGCGTTCTGAGGTTGAGCTCACGAAATGAGCTCAACCTCGAATTGGCCGCGACCTAAATCTGGTCGCGGCCAATTTCGACGCGAACACATTGGGGTTCGCGTCACCCTCATTTCGAACACCAACATGTTCGTGTTCGACTTGGGGGCCCCAGATGACGAATCCGAACACCGAACATGTTCGCCCCGAACGATTTGGCAAAAAAAAATGCCTGTTCGGTTCGCCTCGAACATGTTCGAGGCGAACCGAACAGGCGTTCGGGATTTTGCTCATCCCTACTGTCAGTTATTGTCAGTCACTGTCAGTCACTGTCAGTCATTGTCAATCACTGTCAGTCACTGTCAGTCGCTGTCAGTCATTGTCAGTCACTGTCAGTTATTTTCAGTCACTGTCAGTCACTGTCAGTCATTGTCAGTCACTGTCAGTCACTGTCAGTCATTGTCAGTCACTGTCAGTTATTGTCAGTCACTGTCAGTTATTGTCAGTCACACTGTCAGTTATTGTCAGTCACTGTCACCCAAACACATGAGCAGCTCGGCACCTCAGCCCGGCAAGCGAATGGATTCTCATGACTCGAGCCGAGATTCATTGAGCAAGAGAGCACTAATAGGTAACAACATGGCACTCACCATCCCTATACCAGCCCTTTCTAACATCCGCCACTCTGTTCGTGCGATATCCATTAAGTTAATTTCATTTCCCTGCATGACTGCTGTTGGTGTGCACCACACCAGTGCGATACACAGCATGTTCAGTGTGGAGGGAGATTTGTCAACGCTAACCTTCCTCACTGCCCTCACAGCTATGCAAAGCCTGTGAGTTGAAAGCACAGCTGCTCCACTTGGGTTGGCGTACTGTGCACGCGTATGAGTAAGGAACGCTGCCTGGACTTCTGGTATTTGGCAGATGTGAAACCCCTTTCACACGTTCTGTTGCAGACGTCAGCCCTCCCATGTGCTTTGTCTTGTCGTTTGATACATGTAATTACGTAAGCCATCTGATCTGTCATCATGTGCTCTGTTGTGTGGGTTAGGCAACAAAGAACCCCTTCCGTGTGTTTCACACCATGCCCCCGTGCGCCCATCCGTGCAGCACCATTGCGAGCGTCCCTTGGGCCGGCGAGCTGCCTGCTATTCTGGGCACCCTCACCACTCTCACCCACCTGTGAGTCGGTCGGCAGTAATGATAAAAAAATCGACTTTAAGGCGAGATATCAAAGCTTTACTACTCACCTAGTTCTGAGTACACACGAGCATGAGGTGAGTCGATTCGAGGCTCCTCCTACCTTCAGTCGAGTAGGCGCTGAATGCACTACGAAGCTGGTACCACGTTGCGTCGCCCTGTTTCACGCAACCGCATAAACGGCATGTTTTTACGGCTCATGCACACAGTAGATATGCGCTTGTGGCATCAGATATATCTTGTAACCTTGTAACAGATACGTGCCTCCTGAGCTGGCTACGTGCCAAGCTGGAAGGCCAGCAGCTTTGGATGAAATCCACTTGGCTGGGTGGTTGGTGTGGTTAAACCTTGTGAGGTGCCACCTACTGCGTGTAGCTCGTGCTCGTGAAGATGGAGTGGAGAGAGGCATTCTTAAACGTACGTACTCGCATATTTAGACCTGTTGCTCCTCTGCCTTTGCGTTCTCCCACGTTACCCATGTTCACACATTTCGCAGTGTTCTTGCATGTCTCTATGCTATGTATTATGCCCACCTCGGAGTGTAATACGGATGCATTTGTGTTTTCCCTGCACACGGACATCTGATTGCACTCGCACATCTGTGAGGCTGCATCGTCTCGTCTCAGCCAGTAATATTCGATGCATATTTCCAAGCATCACGATAACATGACAACTCCTGACATCCCCACCCATGTGCATCGATGCTCACATGCTTCAGGGATGTAAGCTGGCTGCGTGCAACCCAGTTTCCTCGATGGGCCATGGACTTGACAAATCTACGATTCCTGTAGGCCATCAAGACTATCCTTTTCCTAAGTAGCCTACACATTTTCTGTTTGTTCTTTGTTTTTGCTTTGCATTTTTTCGTTTCTTTTTGTGTGTGTGTGTGTGTTGGTGTGTGTGTGTGTGTGTGTGTGTGTGTGTGTGTGTGTGTGTGTGTTTGGTTTGTTCTTTTGTGGTGGAAGAGTATGTTGCTGAACTGGAGCAGTCTAGTTTGAGTTGAGTTTTTTTTTTTTTTTTTTTTTTTTTTCTGCCTTTATATGTTTTTCTGGCCAGTGGTAGCCTTGTTTCACTTTCACATGCCCGCGGTTCAATTGGCATTTCACCCCACCCCAACGAACACTATTCGTTGTACTCTCGCCTAACAACTGTATGTCTGTGGCTAAGTCCTTTTCTCTAAGATACCTACTGCATTCTTTGACAAGTCTATGATTCCCGTATGCATGTGCCTTGCCATCAAGAATACTATTTTCCATTGTAGCTTGCAAAATCCCTTTTTTCTGAGGTCCTTTCCCTGATTCAAGTGATGTATTTATTTTTTCCCCCACACGATCGTGCACACACGCACGTAGGGATGAGCAAGGGGCGAACACGAACATGTTCGTGTTCGCCCCTACACGAACACATCCGTTTGCCGAACCGAACACTGTTCGGTTCGGCGAACACTTTCAGCAAAAACAGGTGTTCGCCGTTCGCCTGTGAAGGCGTGTTCGGGCGAACCTTGAACGTGTTCGTGTTCGTCGCGGGGCAAATTGCAGCAGAGGCCCGAACACGAATGTGTTCGAGGCGAACCTCGAACACTGTTCGGCGAACACTTTAAGCAAAAAAAACAAACCTGTTCGGTTCTCTTCGAACATGTTCGAGGCGAACCGAACAGGTGTTCGTATCTGTGCTCATCCCTACACGCACGTCCTCTCAAGCACACACGTGTTGCTGCATCTGTTTCGAGACGTCTCAAAGCACACACGTGTTGCTGCATCTGTTTCGAGACGTCTCAAAGCACACACGTGTTGCTGCATCTGTTTCGAGACGTCTCAAAGCACACACGTGTTGCTGCATCTGTTTCGAGACGTCTCAAAGCACACACGTGTTGCTGCATCTGTTTTGAGACGTCTCAAAGCACACACGTGTTGCTGCATCTGTTTTGAGACGTCTCAAAGCACACACGTGCTGCTGCATCTGTTTCGCACACACGTGTTGCTGCATCTGTTTCGAGACGTCTCAAAGCACACACGTGTTGCTGCATCTGTTTCGCTTGTAAAATCCTCATATCCCATCTTCTGGACATTCCTCCTCTCCTTTCCCGTCTTTTCATCTCTTCTCTCTAATGACCTGAAGTGAGAATATTAATGATGCACACTAAGTAACTTGCATCCTGTCTTCCTGGCATTCCTTCCTTCCTCTCCCCTCTCCACATCCCCGCCCCCTCTCCCCCCCTTCAAGCGCTGCGGCTCATGCCAACAAACTGCGCAGCGGAGTGGTGCCACAAGACCTCTCGCGTCTAGCGCAGCTTGAGCACTTGTGAGTCGTACCACTGAGGACGGGTAGGCAAGCCGGCCGGGGCAGGTCCAGTTGTGAGAACACAAAAAAATGATATTAGCTAGGCTTGAGCAGAACGACGAGAGGCGAACCGAACAGTTCTTTTTTTTGGCCCTTTATGTTCAGGTCGAACATGTTCGTGTTCGGTTCATCGCGGCTTGCTGAGCCACGTCGAACACCAACATGTTCATGTTCGTTTTCCAGCAGCGGCGAACACATTTGTGTTCATCGCAAATGTCCTGTGATCCATTTTTTTAGATTTGTCAAATGAAGGCGCAAAGGGCCGTTCTCGCAATCAGATCCGCAAGGATCTGGCTTTTTGCCGTCAGTTTCCCGCGCGTCCTGGCACTCCCATAAACGAAGCTGATGGCATCATTCTGGAGTGGCTTGCGGGGTGGGGGGAGGAACCGGTGCCACGATTTGAGTAAAAAAAAAAACCGGTCAGCACCCAGTTCGGCGGTAAACCCATGTAATTTTCACGTGGGAATGCTGTGGGTCTAGAACGAAATGAGCCTAAGAAACCAACACAAACAGGTTCGCCCCGAACATGTTCATACTGGGGCCGAACACATTGGTGTTCGCCTGTGTTGAGAACACCGAACACCCCCTTTTGTTGGAGGTGTTCGGCCAAACACAAACATGTTCGGTCCGCCGAACATGAGTGTTTGAGCCCGGGCGAACACGAACATGTTCATGTTCGCATTTGCTCATCAATACTAGCACACCCGTCTAGCTCACAGGCCGAGGCAGGTTCAGTTGAGAGAACCCTCAAACTGCTACTAGCACAACCGCCTAGGGATGAGCAATATGACGAACAAGATTTTTTTTGGCCTAAATTGTTCGGGGCGAACGTGTTCGGTGTTCGCCCGAACACGTTCGCCGTTCGCCCGGCTCAGCTGGCCGAGGCGCGACGAACACGAACGTGTTCGTGATCGACACGGGCCTTCGACGAACGCCAATGTGTTCATTGGCGAATAGGCCCGCGACCAATTTTTAGGGCGCGGGCCTTGGCGTTTGGGCTCAGATCAAGGCCTTTTGCCGTTGCTTAAGTGCGGATCAAGGCATTTCGCCGTTGCTTAATCTCAGATCTAGCATTTCGCCGTTGCTTAAGCGTAGATCTAGCATTTCGCCGTTGCTTAAGCGTAGATCTAGCATTTCGCCGTTGCTTAAGCGTAGATCTAGCATTTCGCTGTTGCTTAAGTGCGGATCAAGCATTTCGCCGTTGCTTAAGCTCAGATCTAGCATTTCGCCGTTGCTTAAGCGTAGATCTAGCATTTCGCCGTTGCTTAAGCGTAGATCTAGCATGGGCGGTTCTAGCAGGGCGGGACTGGCTTGCGGGGTGGGGGGAGGGAATGTGAAACATTTGGATTTCACTCTACTTGGATCTGAGAAGGTCCTTTAAGGCGAACGCGAACATGTTCTGGGCGAACGTGTTCGTGTTCGCCAAAACGTACGAAATGTTCGCCTCTCTTGGCGAACTTCGAACACCCTTTCTGGTGTTCGGTTCGCCGAACAGCCATGTTCGAGCCCAGGCGAACACGAACATGTTCGTGTTCGCCATTTGCTCATCCCTACAACCGCCCAGCTCACCCGAGGTTTTTTTTTGTTCTTCATGCGATTACCAACGAAAAGGTGCAGGGTTTTGCATAATTTTGACAGTTTTGTTTTTTGCTGATCTAAACAATTGACCATTGTGATGTGAACAAGAGAAAAAATTGAAGTTAGTACTTCCATAAGGAGCTGTCAAACAGTTATTGAAACACGTAACTTTTCGAATTTAAGGTGAGAAGGGTTCTATCTAGCGCGTGCATTATGTTTCCAACAACATGATCAGCCTGATTGCTTGTCTTTTCACCCTCTTGAGTGGTGTGGCGTGGCAGTGATGCATCAGGCAATGGGCTGAGTGGAGCTCTTCCCAATTACTGGACCTCCTTGAAGCATCTAACGTACCTGTGCGCCTCAATATAAAGTTCAAGGGGCTTCTCATTTGTTCCTTCTCATCGGTCCACTCACCTATTGGATGTCACCAGGAAGTGGACTTTGAAAGTCTCACTGTTTTTTATAATCTGGATTGCACATACACTTGTTCGTTCGACGTGTTTTCTGGCAAGAATGCTGTGCTACCACCTACATTCTCTTGAAACTGCACTTATGGCGAACGATGTAAATATTGTATTTCCTACACAAATAGATTTGGCACATATATTTGTTGGAACTAAACATATGTATTCACAATAGTGTAATGTGTTTCTTGGAACTTCGTGTTGTTCGTTACATGTTTTGTCTTACACAGATCACTTGCCTACAACAAAATTGAAGGCTCGATTCCATCAACATTCTCTGGCCTAACAACATTGAGCACACTGTAATTTCTTGTATCCTCCTGTACGAATAATTTATCCTTTGAAGTTACAAATATAGTGGTTGCTGGATTTTTTTTCATTAGGAGAGATTATGTCTAGATTGCTAGGGAGTGCTTCTGTTTTGCCTTATTTCAATGATTAGCCATGATTCTGAATATCATGAGAAATCGAACTGCATCGAACCGGTCCAGTGGTCCAATTAATCAGAAATCGGTTCAGGTCCGAGCAGCTGGGTGCTTGGCTGGTATTTCCGGTTTCCTCAAACTGGTTCGAGCACAGTAATACCCAGCCTTCAATGCATGCACATGCCCTCGAATCCTCTTTGTTATGTTGACCGTTTCATGCGAAACATACAGCAATACAACTGTGCTTTTTCTTTTGTGAGCCGGCTAACCATAACGCAGGATCTTGATTGGCAACAGTATGGACGGCACGATCCCACCCGTTTTCTACACGACGCTCAACTACCTGTACATCCGTGACACTCCCACTAGCACCCCTTTGCTCTTGCTCTTCATGTGTAGTTTTACTGTAATATTTCTTCTTGTGCACGACCTGTTGTTGAACGAAGTGATTCATTGACCACAAAACGTGTGGAGAAAATGTAAAGCCACACTAAATCAGCTTAGTTAGTCCAATACCAACTGTAGTTGGCCGCTTGGTCCAACCTTGAGCAGGACAGGAGGAAAACACGAGTCGCGTTTTACTCGACTCATTTCTAGGCTAACTTGATCAAATATCGATTTGTTACTCGCCCTTGAAGAGCAAAGTCATTTTTCCTCGAATCTTTTCTCCCTGTAGGCCTTGCGATATTGCTTAAAGCCGGGGTCTCAAGTACTACAAGTGTTTTGCAGTTGATGGTGAAAGTTTGGCTGTGATTGGTTAGCAAAGTAGAAGGTTTGAAGTGGGTTGAAGCGAGGGGTGCGAAGCAAACTCACATCCCTGGATTGCGCATATCTAGTGATGTTCGATTCAAGCAGTTCGATCTGGTTAGACCTTTTTAGTCAATTTGCGTCGAAACTAGCACGCTCAACATGAAACGATGATCGATTCGATCGAACATGTCCCTGTTCAATTGTGCAACTAATTTTGGCCGACAAGGTCTTTCATTGAGCTTGTCGTTTCACAATGCCCATGTTTCAACAACCTAGTTGGGTTGTGTAGGTTGATTTTCTACTTCAAACCCCCCAAATTCCCTCCAACGCTTACTCCCCAAAAACCAGGAAAGCAAATTCAGCCATATTATTGTCACTATAACAAGTCAGTGTGCCTGATTCGAACTCGGTCTTGTTTGATTCGAACATGTTCAGGTTCAGGTCGACTGCTGAATGCTGAATGTCTGATCAACTAGGCTCAATCTAGGCCAGTCTGGTTCGGTTTGGGAAGTTGGCTCATCTGAGTCCGTTTGAGTTCAGAGGTTGTTCATGCATATTAAAAAAGGGTATTCATTGTTTTTTCTTATTCTTTTCCCAGGGACATTTCAAAGAATGGCTTCTCTGGCGTTATACCTCCCTTCATTGGCAACCTATCTGCTCTCTCAACTCTGTACGTATCATTTGAAGGCCACAAAATCTCCTTCACCACCCCAAATGGTTTCGATTCGACGTTTCTTGCCTTAACGTCGATATTCTGTTTTACCCCTTACTTCAGCATCTTCCAATGTTTCTGTTGTGTTCTGTCTTGTGCTTCAAGAGAGTTAGGCATAAACAACTTCACTGGGGAGGTACCGTCCTCCTTCACGAACCTGATCAATCTGCACTACTGGTAAGTTTGGCCTATCATGGTATTCTTGGTTGTATGCCCTTAAGTTCGAAGCTAAGTTGGAAAATACTTGTATTGCGTTTTGTACGCCAGCGTATTTTCGTTAGCGTATATTCGCATTACGGTGACAGAGGGGGGGTCTGGTTAGGGATGAGCAAATGGCGAACACGAACATGTTCGTGTTCGCCTGGGCTCGAACATGGCTGTTCGGCGAACCGAACACTGTTCGGTTCGCCGAACACTTTACACCAGAAAGGGTGTTCGAAGTTCGCCAAGAGAGGCGAACATTTCGTACGTTTTGGCGAACACGAACACGTTCGCCCAGAACATGTTCGCGTTCGCCTTAAAGGACCTTCTCAGATCCAAGTAGAGTGAAATCCAAATGTTTCACATTCCCTCCCCCCACCCCGCAAGCCAGTCCCGCCCTGCTAGAACCGCCCATGCTAGATCTACGCTTAAGCAACGGCGAAATGCTAGATCTACGCTTAAGCAACGGCGAAATGCTAGATCTACGCTTAAGCAACGGCGAAATGCTAGATCTGAGCTTAAGCAACGGCGAAATGCTAGATCTGAGCTTAAGCAACGGCGAAATGCTTGATCCGCACTCAAGCAACAGCGAAATGCTAGATCTACGCTTAAGCAACGGCGAAATGCTAGATCTACGCTTAAGCAACGGCGAAATGCTAGATCTACGCTTAAGCAACGGCGAAATGCTAGATCTGAGATTAAGCAACGGCGAAATGCCTTGATCCGCACTTAAGCAACGGCAAAAGGCCTTGATCTGAGCCCAACATCACAAAAATCATATGACCAGAAACATATTGTAAAGAGTTGTGGCGAAGTATTTTCAAATGCTTTTAAACCGTAGGGGCCAAAACGCTTTTCGGTGAAAGTATAAACATTTTTTCGAATGCTTTGTTGAATGCTTTTCAGGTGCTTCTCCAATGCTTCTTTGTCTAAACCTAGCACGAATTGCAGATGCTTTTCAGATACGATTCAGATGCTTTTCCGCGGAGCGGTTTTCGAGTTTTGATCTCATTGCATTGCACTCTTTATGGGCTTTGGGTCTCATTATATTAAACACATGAATTTTGTTCCTTTATTTATTACGTTACAATACATCAACACCATAATAATGATTGGCAAGCTTTAACAAAGATCTAGTCACCTTCACATGTTCATCAGAACCCTAATTTAAGCATCATTTCGCCCAAAAATGCATCGTTATAGCTGCGGAAACAGCATTGCCTGCTGCTCAATCACTGACTCCTAGATCTGAGGTAAACAAAACAAAAAGCCGTGAGTAAAAACGACCAGCAACGAACAATCAAATGCTCACCGGGAGAAAAGGCATAAAAACAGAGGATCTTGTGGTGCATGATTCTGAAACACACAAAAAACAGGATGAGAATGTTGAAGTACGATGTGACGCCCTCAATAAGAACGCAAACATAAGTCATAAGCAAAGGCAGATTGACGCGGCGACCTGCACAAACCGAGAGGGACATTAGTTGGATAACAATTCGGGCTAACACAGAGAAGGATCTGACGTGACCTTAATCAGAAAACTGCGCGACCTGAGCTTCGACCTGCAGTTGTTGATCAACATGAATTAAACGATAAAAATATACGTACCACGGAGGACAGACCGACACAAAGTAAACCGAGGCGCACTCATGGCAATCACGGAAAATTACGAGCTATTGAAACGGTTGAGACGATGGCGACGGTTGAAACTACGGCGACGGTTGAGACTATGACGACGGTTGAGACTATGGCGGCGGTTGAGATAACGAGATTGGAAAACGTGCTAAGGTAAGGAAGAAATAAACTAAAATCAGACACAGCCACTCTAGAATAACAAAATGAGAGCCCACTTTACCTTTTTTGTGCAAGCTTAACGGGTAGAGTGCCTAGAGGTGGTGTGGATGGGGTGGGTTAGGGCGGGTCAAACTTTGTACGTGTTCGCAGAATACCCTACCCAACCATCTGGGATTTCTATTTGACCGATCTGGATCAAATTCAAAAAGTTTTCAACCCTATTCGGACGTACTCTTTTGACCCGCCCTTAGTGGTGGTGGTTGGGGTGGATTTTGTTGAGGTGGATGCAATGCAGACATTGATTGGTTGGGCAAGGTGGTATGCTGAGCTGGATTGAATGAAGCGAATTTGGTTGGTTGGAGAGATTTGTGGGCTGGTTGGGGTTGATTGGGAAAGTGTGATTGGAAGTTGGCAAATGCGTACTGAAAAAAACGATAATGTTATTTGCAAAAATTTAAAACAGCCATTCTAGTCCAGTCAGTTACGCTATTTGGCTGACATGTAGAAGACCCGGATTCGAAACTCGATAGCTGCCCATTTTAGAAATTAGGCTCTCTTTCTGAGAATTTTTTTTACCTTACTGCGCATTAAAATTGAGGTATCATAATGATCCACACTTAACTTAGTAATCAGACATTTATGCAACCTTATTATTGTTTCAACAATAAACATCTGACAAATAAACCATTGAAACATTGCAAAACCATTACTAAAACATCCGCAAATCATTTGGTCTGACTAAAATGCTATACAAATGATAAACAGATGGTTTCTGGATGATTTTCAAACGATTTTTGGAGACCCGCATAAAAAAAAATATGGTCATATGATTTCTAGACGCACACATTTTTGTGATGAAACACCAAGGCCCGCGCCCTAAAAATTGGTCGCGGGCCTATTCGTCGAAGAACACATTGGCGTTCGTCGAAGGCCCGTGTCGATCACGAACACGTTCGTGTTCGTCGCGCCTCGGCCAGCTGAGCCGGGCGAACGGCGAACGTGTTCGGGCGAACACCGAACACGTTCGCCCCGAACAATTTAGGCCATTCGAGGCGAACCGAACAGGTGTTCGTCATATTGCTCATCCCTAGGTCTGGTACGCACCGGGCAGGTAAAAATATTATCCCGGGCTGGAAGTTACTAATGTTAGAGTGGTTCGCCACTGCCCTAGTGACTACCGAGCTATGCATTAGTCCTAGGGACGGTAGCGCAATGCTAAGAACGGTGGGAAATAGAGTCCTAAGGTGGGGAACCGGCAGCTGTAACGGTGGGGCTGCGTGCTAAGGAGCTAAGGAGGGAAGGCGAGAAGAAAGCGGGAAAAACGGATTGGAGAATGTCTAGGGATTGGCGAATGTCGAGAAGACATTCGCCGTAACCTAAAATGTCCAACCGCAACGGATTGGAGAATGTCCAACCTAAAATGTCGAGAAGACATTCGCCGTAACCTAAAATGTCCAACCGCAACCGAACCGTGTTCGGTGCGGATGAGACAAGGGGGTTTTGGTTTCGGTGTCGGTTACCGAAATCGGTTACGCGTGCGACTCGAGCTGAAACGCGAATAACGCGTTACGCGAGGCGCACATCAGATTTCGAAATGCTTAAATTGTGTTTGTTTCAATCATTTTGTGTACTTCTCTGTTTTGAGTGAAATCAGTCTTGAAAAAACCAGAATTCTCTCCTAGCACTTACTACCTTCAACGCTAGCCGGAGGCTATACCTAAACTAAGAACTAAGCGGGGGGGTTGGGCGAGGTGCAAAGCACCAACAACTCCCGTCGTCCCTTTGTTTGTAGATAGCTGACACATACCCACAAATTCACCTCATTCTTTCTAATGCAACATCATCCGGGAAACAGATGCGTAATCTCTGCGCGTTACTATGCGGAATCTTCCTGCGGATGTAATGCACAAATTCCGCATGGATCTATTTCAGATTTTACTGTGCGGATTAGAATGCGGAACTAGCGCTAGCGCGTCTCTGCATCCACGAAAGAAGATGTATGGAGTTGAGAGCACGATAGGAAACTAGGATCTGGTTGGAGAATATTCCACTCGACAACGAACCGGAGGGGATTGGAAATGGATTGGGGTGGAGAGGGTTGTCAAGCGGTGGAAGGGAGGCGATTGTGCACATCGAGGTCGAATTGCGAATTTGAGGTTCCAATAGTTATGTACGTGACTCGAATTTGAGTTCGCCACTTCACGAACTCAATCTCAAATTTTAGGGCTTTTTTTTCTGGTCAGCCCGTGCGTATTTCGACGAATTTTCACAGAATACGCAGCAAACGAATTTTTGTTGCGTATATATGCAATAAGCAGACTGGAAACTGCGAATTCTCCAACTTTGTGTGGTATCATCATCTACAGAATAATAGGTGGGGCAACAACACCTCAAGTTCACTGAAAAACATTATGAACCAGAGTCGAATGTTGTAGTCAGATTAAATGTTGGTTGGTTCAATGGAGAAAGCACACGTTAACCCCAAATCATTTTCTATCAACATAGAATAGAACAAGTAAACATCCAAATCTAGACGTACCTCTGTGTCAGATCGGACCTGTTTCTACTGGTTGCACAACCCGCCCAACCCGATAGGTTTGTAATTCCAATAACTCGGCTGTGGAGTCAACCTGACCCGAGCCCTACAGGTCGACCAGAAACCCTTGGGTCGGATGCATCGCACATGCGACCCGACCTGGTAAAACTAATGGGTCGGGTCGATCCGACTGGGCTCGCTCATGTCTAGTCACTTCTAGCGAGCTTGAAACGATGTTGATTCTTACAATATTTTATCTGAACCTTCTTTTAAAGCTCTTCTTGAAGTCTTGTGAATTTGCACACGTCTGCAACATGCCAAATGTTTGCGACACGATCGATCAAGACAAGAACGCACATCACATGTACATGAGGACTTGACACGCGACTAGCAAAAACTCGCAAATGACTTGACACTCACATTCAATATGACGAATCATCGTTCAAGCATGCATACACAGATGCATGCATGGAATATATTCTTTCATACCCATGCAACATTTCAATCCTTGAGGTTGCACCAATGCCTTGTGGTCTTTAGTGCCCTTCCTTTGAGATTCTCCCCTCACTACCATTGTGCTCACAGTCAGGCATGAGCATTGGACCCGGACGGCCCGGACTTTCGCCCGGGTCTGGTTGACATTTCCTAAACGCCGACCCGGCCGGGTCGGGCCGAGCCGAGCCGACCCGTGACCCGATTATTGAAATCGGACCAGGCCGGGTCAGGCTATTTTGGAAACTCGATCCGGGGAAACCCGACCCGACCTGACCCGGTACCCACCCACCTGGGCCGCCTGAATCGGGTCGGGTCGGGTCGGGGCAAATGCTCATGCCTACCCACAGTCAGTCCTGCCAGAAACATGATGCCAAGTTGTTAAGTTTACAAGCTGGGAGGCCCAGCTGGGAGAGGCCCAGCCTTAGACTTTAGACTTAACCAGTTGTTACGTGGTTGTCAAGGCAGGGTGAGTGGAGCACACCACATTGTTGAGGCTTTGATTTGATTATGACAGCAAAGCTGTACTTTGACTGTAAATTGCACATTCATGGGCGTGTTTGGTCTGCTGGTCAACATTGTTTCAGGACGCCATACTTCAACCAGCTTACTTCGGGACTTCATGTGATTGGCAAAATGACGTGGCTGTTGATGCTGTAAGTAACTCAAGTCTATCAATGATGCTAATGTTTTGACATGTGCCGCAAAGAAATGCATACATGATACTACTAGAATTAAGCAAGTACCGAATGTGGAAAGAAGAAGTACACTGATCAGGCTTGAATCAGCTAGGGTATACATAGGGGGAGAATAGTTAATGTAGATTCGCTTGCCATCAAGGCCCCAATAACAGTCGGTTTGGTTTTGGCCAACATAATTGGGGGTCCGAAGATTGTTTGGTTGGGTTTTGACCAACATTTTTGGAGGTCGATAAATATTTGGGAACCCATCCAAGCATCAATCACGAATAGTGGTTAAAGGGCACACCCAACAACCCTACACCTCATATTCTAGCTTATGCATGTTGTGCTGAAACATTACAACACGAAATTCGAACCTGTTCGAGACAGACTGGGTCAAATTGGGTCCATAATCGAACCAAGTTGGTCCGGTCTAGGTCGAACCAAAATGGGTGGGTGGGCTTGAGGTTCGCCATTGAACTTACATGGGTTGAACTCCTTGGGTTTGGTTCGGCTCGAGTCGAACTGGGGCAACCTGGTCGGTTCAGATGTCAGGTTTGTTCAATGCTGCTCAACACCTCTGGTAGAACAAAATGGAGTGGACCGAACCCGGTTAAATCCGAACCTTCTGTTTGAACCTCCAGTTTCATACGTTGCTCAACCCTGCGTAATTGTGATAAAATGAAAAACACTTCATTGACTGGCAAACCTCTGAATAGCTGACATCCGTGCAATGCAGCCAGTTCGCTGCCTCTCTTCTCTACTCATCAATTCAACATTTCATTGCAGGGATATTTCGTACAACATGTTTTCAAGTGCTGTTTCAAGTCTAGTATCTCTACGTTCCCTTAATGGATTGTAAGTCACTCCTGGTCCCTCCAATTTAATGTTTCACTACATGAAAGCGCTAGCTCTCATTTTTTCCTGTAGGGGATCACTAGTCTTGCTTCTCATTCAAGCTCATGAGGGCAGTTCAAATCTCGATGTCATGTATGTGCCCAACCAATCTCGACGCCTAACGAAACCGATCGCTCTGTCTTCGTTTCGTATCTTCTTTCATCTTTTCGTGTTCCTCGTTGCTGGCGTGCTTCACATCTTGACGATGCTGCAGGAATCTCCATGGCAACAACTTGGGAGGACCATTTCCTTCTTTTGTTTTGACCCTCACTGGACTTGCAGCTTTGTAAGTCTTTCATGTTTGTATGACCTGTGACTCTCATTAGGGATGAGCAAGGGGCGAACACGAACGTGTTCGCGTTCGCCCCAGCTCGAACACTGCCGTTTGGCGAACCGAACACTATTCGGTTCGCCGAACACCTTTTACAAAAAAGGGTGTTCGATGTTCGCCTGTGAGGGCGAACATCTTGCATGCCAAGGCGAACACGAACGTGTTCGCCCCTGGGCATCCTTTGTTACGCTCGAAATACGCAACGGCGGGAAGGGGAATTGCGGGAAACTGGGGGAAAATATCTAGGCTGGATCAGCATTTTGCGAGATCTAGTTACGGATCCATATTTTTTTTTAATCCAGCTTGCCACCTGGATTTCCCCCCACGTAAGGCGAAATGCTCTCCCCGTTCTATATCTACGAAATTTGCGATTGCTCGCCAACCCCCCACAACCCCCCAACTCACGAAATATGCGAACGCTATTCCTCTCAATCCCATGCATACGAAATTTGCGAATGCTTACCCCCAACCCTCAACTTACAAGATTCTGCGATATCCCTGTCTGATCTTTTCCCGAAAACCTAAATCTCGCATACCCAAGTCCAGACAGACTAACCTAAGGTAACTACTTAATTACGTTAAGTTCTAATGAGGTGATAACGGCGTGATGTGTGGGGGGCGTGGTAGTAATGGCTGCTGCTAAATAGCGCGACTAAGTTTGAGCTCAAATTTGAGCTCAAACAGAATGTCCCGCAACGTAAATTGTAGCCCGCCGGGACAGTCGCGTCGAACACATTCGTGTTCGTTTTTGCCCCGAAACGAACACGAACGCGTTCGTGTTCGACGCGGCTTGGCAGCAGTAGCAGGGCGAACACCGAACTTGTTCGGGCGAACACCGAACACGTTCGCCCCGAACATTTTTAGCCAAAACAAAATCCTGTTTGGTTCGCCTCGAACGTGTTCGAGGCGAACCGAACAGGTGTTCGTTTCCATGCTCATCCCACTCTCATACTAACCTCCCTCTTACCATACATTGGACAACCAGCCTTTCTTTGACGCCTCCTCTCTGGCTGTTGAAATCACAGTGCGTTTCTGGGTTTTGTGTAGCTTTTGGCAGGTTTGATGGCCAGGACAGCCGTCCCCTGTGGTTCACCTCATGATGCAAGCAGCCGCTTTCACGATCCTCATGGTTCCACCACACATTGTGTTGTCTTTCACTGCAGAGACATAGGAGGGAATGGTTTTTATGGAACAATTCCCCATGAGATATCCCGACTGACTAACATCATATATCTGTGAGTCCAATCTTAACTCAGCTTTACAACTTGCCATGTAGTGTTCACACAATATTAGGTTGAGTAGCCCATGACAAGATGTTTGGAAGCATTTCTAGTCCAGTGCTGTAGTGTGCAGGTACACTTTCACACATCCTTCTACTTTCATGACCTAAAAATCTAACTTGCGCTACTCGAATCGGCATCGGGCATCACTTCAAACATGTTCAGATCAATGCGACTCAACAAGCAAAGTCGAACATGTTCGAATCGAAGCAAGAGAAAAACAAACAAACAAATGAACAAACAAACAAACGAAACATAACAAAACAAACACACAAACAAACAAAAGCAAAATCATCTTTGGTTTGACTCGAACATGTTCGGATTTTTTCTCATTCGTATGCACCTTGGTTGGGATGCACGTTGGTTTGTGTAGTGTCATCTCGCTCATGAGTGGCAGCACCTGTATTGACCCAAGGAACACGTATAGTTAGAGTTGGCAACACTAACCCCACATGTGCGTAGTTGTACCCAATGAGAAGTACCACTTGAGTGGGCACACATGTCACATGGCATGCATGGGTACATACATACGAGTGAGTCATGTTACATGAGTGGGTGGGCAGACATGTGTGTGGGTACACACGACACGAGTGGGTACACTACACTACATGCACACATTCTCATGCATGTTGCGATGAAATTGCTCGGATGGTGCTCATGCATGTTCCTCTCTCCACTTTACCTGCAACAGGACACTTGGTCCGAATAACTTTCACGGCGAGGTTCCGCTGGCACTCTACTCACTTCCAAAAGACGAACTGTGAGAGCTTGAGGCCTATCTGCTTGCTTCTGCTGCTGCTTTCCCCTTCCTTCGTTCCTTCTTCTCGCCCTCCTCTCGCCACCCACCCCATCGCTTCCAAATTACCAGCATGCTTTTCCAGGCAACGTTCTAGTTTTTCTTTTTTTCTTGATTGTTTGCAAAGGTGGATGAAGTCTAGGAATGTGGATGTTAGTCTGAAATTGCTCCGTGCAGTACGAGGATTGTGACTGCACACGCTGCTTGCTGCTTGCTCACGGCATCCCACCTGGGAGACGGCCATCTTAGCTATAACTTGTGTTGCCCTTCATACAATCTCAATTGTCAGGAATTTGGAGTACAACAATCTAAGTGGAATTCTACCCAGGAGATTGTCCACCGATATGACCCTCTTGTATAATATGACCCTCTTGAATGATATGACTTTCTTGTATGATATGGCCTCTTGTATGATATGACCCTCTTGAATGATATGACCCTCTTGAATGATATGACTTTCTTGTATGATTTGTCCCTCTTGTATGATATGACTTTCTTGTATGTTTTGACCCTCTTGTATGATATGACCCTCTTGAATAATATGACCCTCTTGTATGATTCGACCCTCTTGTTTGATTTGAGAAGCCTTCTGGATGATCAGAGAAATGGGTTAGCAATTGATCCATTTGCATCGCACTGGCATATACGGCTACACTTATTTGTTCTGTATATACATCTGCTTGCCAGGAACGTTCAAGGGAATCAGCTATCGGGTCTGCTTCCTGATTTCTCTCAATGGAACACGTCAATAATCAGGCTGTAAGTTGCACTACCATGTGTCACCTTTTCATAAGCCCTAGGTTAGGGTCCAGACTTGTGGTCAACCGCCTTCGCATTTTATTTGTACCACCTAAAGTTATTGCTAATGAAACTCATGTTTGTTTCAATGGTTGGAACTAGAGCATTTTCTAATCGAGGCACCTCCTGGGTGTTCGTCTCTAGAGTCGTTTTTGGTCTCAGGGTACTGTCTCTCAAAATGGATAGCATGAGAGAGCTTAACTAATTACAACTCTGTGCAGTTGCCATGAACAAATATTCTACAAAGTGTGCTGATTTTGGGATTTACTAAATCTGTTAATTACTTCCGAATTTGATTGCAGGCTTTTAGGTGATAACCGCTTCACAGGGTCCATTGGGAAGTCCATTAGCATGCTTACTTCGGTTGCTTACATGTGAGTGAACAAGCTTCCTTGTATGTGTTTAATGCCATACTGTAAGTACGTATTGAGCCTCTTCTGGCTTTCCCAATGTGTTGGGTTTCTTGTTGGAAAGCAAAAATCAACACGTCCAGACCGAAATGATAATTGCACTAGGCATGATGACTAGATGGTTGAGTTGCGGTTTGGCTTGGGAAAACCACGAACGAGTTGAGCTTTGGTTATCGAGTTTCTGGAGTGACTGTGCCGAACTTGAGATTCGCAGAAACCGCAACAGACCTGGCTGGCTATGAGTTGCCTCGGTTTCGCTATGCTTGACTGTGGGGCTTTTTTTCAGACAATCCTCCAGGTGAACTTAAACTGTATGAATGCGAGGACGCTATTTATGATCGCCTGTCATCTGACTTATGGGTGAACTGGACCCTTCCATTCCATTCCATCCATCCATCCACCATCCATCATACCTGCAGTTCCTTGCGCAACAACCAGCTCTCAGGGACCATTCCGTCAGCTCTGTCTGCTGCACCAAACTTTCAAGCCATGTAAACTCCTTTGCATCTCTTCCCTTTCACCAACGCTTGTTTTAGACACTCCTCTTTTTTTCACTCCAGGTTCTAAGAGTCCATTGCTAGGCCATCACATGCCATGTGTATCTTTCTCGTATCACCCATCTCCTACAGAGACCTGTCTTTCAACAACATATCGGGGTCCTTGCCTTCTACCCTGGGGGTTCTCTCCAACCTCCTTATCTTGTATTGTACCTATGATACATTCCCATGCCCGCGTGTCCTGGATTCTTTCATGCATGCCCATGCATCCCATGCGCATGCCCTATGTCCAATGGATCATTATTCACATGCACATTCACGCTGCCTTTGCCATTCTTGACCATTCATCATCTCATCCTGCCACTCCGAAACTGTTGTGCCACCATACGTGTCTATGCCAATCATTCTTGTACTTGGTTTGTGCTGGCATGAGAATCACTGATGCCTGGTAAGGCATCCCTTGCTCTGCTCTTGGATTGGAGGTCATGAGCTTCTACCCTTCTAGCTCCTCTCACCCCACTAAGTGAATTCGCCCGCTGCATGCATGGGGGCAGGTCGGTGCATGACAACCAGCTCACGGGCAAGCTGCCGCCTTCCATTTGCAACCTCACACAAATGCATACCATGTAAACCTCGCCGCTATATTCCCTGTGTTAAAATGTGCTGCGGCACATTAGTTGATTGGAAGTTTTCAAATTCAATGCAGGCCAAAACGTGTACCCATTACGGGACCACATTACATTACAGTCTCTCTTCAGCACGGCTTGATACTGCAGGAGTTGCAGTACATAATGATACTGCGGGAGTCGCAGTACATATTGATACTGCGGGAGTTGTACTGCGGGAGTCGCAGTACATATTGATACCGCGGGAGTCGTACTGCGGGAGTCGCAGTACATATTGATTCTGCGGGAGTCGCAGTACATATTGTTTACAGGTTTCAATCGCTTCCCCCAGTTGTGATGCCATCGATATTCCTCAAAAAGTGTGCTGGGTTATTTGTCTTCCCGCCCCTCTTCAGGTTCCTCCATAACAACCGCTTTTACGGCGAGTTCCCCTCATGTCTTTTTCAGCACTGCTTGCACAAGATGTGAGCACTTCTGGGAAGCTGTTGCTTGGATGTTTATGCTTGCTCTGTGTATGTGTGATGCTTTTGGGACTTCCATGTTCAAAACAGCGCAGCTTCCATGAGAGCCGTGCTGGCATGATCATTTTTATGGCTGGAGCCTTGAGTTGTTCCGTTCTCAACCAGCATGGCAGCGGTTCAAACATGCCAAACAAGCACCTCACTCTCGTGTCATTCCCCATCCCTATTGCGACCCCCCTCCCAGTGACATTAGCAACAACAGCTTCTACGGTCGGATGAACACCAACTTCCGCGGCATGATTCCAGACAAGACTGCGCTGCTGAATATCGCAGGCAACTACTTCTACGGCCAGCCCATACTCTTCGCTGACGGCTGCCAGTTTTGCCCCTCCGAAATCAACCAAACCCGCATTTTGGACCTGCAAGGCCTCACGTCGTATGGCGAGGGCCGTTGTTCAGTTGACTGGGGGACCACAGCGCTTGCGTTTGAACGCTCAGCCGCCAACAAGCGAGGCCAAGCGAGCCTGCGCGGCAACTGCTTCAGTGTGGGCGAGCAGCAGAGCTGCACGGCGAATGAGACGCAGCGCAGCGCTGCGGAGTGCCGGGGCTTCTGCAGCCTGTCGGAGGAGCTGGGGCCGTGCGTCGGGCACGGCGCATGTGTGCCGGTGGTGCAGACGGCAGGGCCGGGGGAGGGGTTCGTGTGTGAGTGCGAGGAGGGGTACGTGGCGGTCAATGGCAGCTCTGGTCCCACGTGTGCTCGCCCGCCCCCGCCCCCCTCCTCATGTATGTGTGTAACGGTAGAGTGAGGTACATGATGAGGCCGAGACAAACAGCATCTTGAGTGTATGGCATGTGGTATCTATCGCATGTCTGCACAGCATATGGTGTCTCTGGCATGTGGTGTGTATGGCATGATTTGTGCTTGGCCTATGGTCTATTCTGGTCTTCTGGAGAGTATGAAGTAACAAAGGCTACTGAATGCTTGAAATGGCTTGCAAATTGCGTTCTCATTGCCTTTCAAGCAGCTACATTGCTGTGTGGCAGAATGTGCATGATCACCTTCCGCTGTCTTATGAGCCCGGCAGAGTGCTTGTGGCAGCACAGTGGATTTGGGTTTGAGGGAGGTGATGTTCAGGACACTGGAACCATATGACCTCAGCCACACGTTTCCGGGCTGGGATGGACAGGATGGGACTCACAAAGAGCATCCCTTACACACAAAAAGTCTCCTTCTCGCCCTCCATATTCTATGCATGCAAATCCCCATAATCCCCCCCACATTCTTGACTCGACCCTCCGTTGTAACTTCTGCCTTTCCCATCCCCTCCAGCGCTCTCTACCGGCGCACTGGTGGGCATTGCTGTGGGCTCAGCTGCGGCTCTTTCCCTCCTCCTCGCTCTCATTGTCGTCGTGATCTGGCCCAAACAGCGCAGTCAGTCCCTTCCACCTTCTCCTAATGTCGGGTTGATTTATTCTCCCTTCGTTTTATGCGCACTTCCTCCCACTGTCCCTTCCTTCCGCTTTCCCTTCCCCTTTCCCTGCGCCCAATTTCCCTTCCTCCCACTCTCCATTTCTTCCACTTGCTCTTGCTCCCATTTGCCCTTGCTCCCCCCGTCTCTTCCTCCCCCTGTCCCTTCCTCCCCTCCTCCCTTCCCCCCCTTCTCATGATGTCTCCGGTTCTTTCACTCCCTCATGCTCTCTCATATTCGTTCGTATCCACGCCGGTTTGTCCGCCAGGGAGGTGGTCTGCCCTGGACGTGTGTCGGGAGTTCAGCATGGCATACATGCTCCTCTCTCCTTCTGTCCCCATTGTTGTCCCTTACGTTACGTTGCTCCATTCGCAAATGAGGTGGAGCGGCCTGGACGTCTTCTGAGGCGCCTCAGAAGGTGTCTCTTGTTCTGTCCCCATCTCTGTCCCTTACGTTGCTCCACCTGCCAGGGAGGTGGGCAGGGCTGGACGTATGTCGCGAATTCAGCATGGGGGACATCCTCCGAGCCACGGACAACTGGGCGAGCGCCAACGTGGTGGGGAAGGGGGGCTTCGCCACGGTCTACAAGGGCGTGGCACCCACTGGCGAGCTCTGGGCTGTAAAGCGCATCAGCCTCATGTCCAACGACTTTGAGAACGAGGTGTGCGGACAGAGCTTGCGGGCCCAGTGAGGCACCACTTCTTTGCGTGGCAGCGAGCCTTAGAGTAAAGCTGTTGTTCTTGTTACAGGCTTGCTTGTAAAAAGTCCTTTGCGGGCCATCAAGCGCATCAGCCTCATGTCCAAAGACTTCAAGAATGAGGTGGGCGGGGGGGTGGGGGGGGGGGGAGGGCTTGTATATTTTTATCAGCACAGGAAAATCCATGAGGATGAAGTATTGGGGGCATGGTTCTAGCAGTACGGTCGCCCTCCCTCCTGCCCCTGCCCGTGGCAGGTGCGGGCGATGGCATCGCTGCGGCATGAGAACGTGGTGCGGCTGCTGGGCTTCTGCCTGCACCAGAGTGCGGAGAGCGGGCGGCAGGAGCAGGTGCTGGTGTACGAGTACGTGCCCCATGGGGACCTCAAGCACCACATCCACCACTCCAACTGTGAGTCCCCCTCGTACCATGTCCTTCGTACCCCCTGTGACAACTTCTTTCCGCTTTCTGCTTGGCTTGTCGTGCCGCTACTGCCTTGTCGTGTCAACACACCGTGTCACACATGTCCCTCGTACCATGTCCCTCGTACCATGTCCCTCGTACCATGTCCCTCGTACCATGTCCCTCGTACCATGTCCCTCATACCCCCTATAGCAACTGCTTCTGCATTCTGCTTGCCTTGTTGTGTCAAACCACCTTGTCCAGCACAAAGCTCTTCACCTCCTCCTCACACCCCCCCTGGTCTTGTTGCCCTTGCGGTGCAGCATAACTTTCTTCCTTCTCCCCCCCACGCCCAATCCCCTATGTGTGCTCAGAATCCCCCCTTACTTTCCCCTGTATCGCCTCCCCCCCTCCCTTATTATCACTCTCGCCTCTCCCTCTCCCGCAGCCCCTCTGATTCTCCAGCAAAGGCCTAAGCCCTGGCCCCTCTCTCTCATCTCACCCTTCTCTCCCCTCCCCAGCCCCACTGACCTTGCAGCAGAGGTTGAAGCTGGCAGCGGGGGCAGCGGAGGGAGTGGCCTACCTGCACAGCTTCACGACGCCCATCATCCACCGCGACCTCAAGCCGGGAAACATCCTGGTGGGGGAGCACAACCTCGCCAAGATCGCCGACTTTGGGCTGCTCAAACTGCTCTGCCATGCTGATGGGGGCGATGAGCGCACGCGCGTGGCAGGCACTCCGGGCTACCTGGATCCGGATTACAACCGCACGCACGTGGTGTCGGAGAAAAGTGACGTCTACAGGTGCGCCCCTTAGTACTCTGCTGTTAGGGTCTTTTAACTCATCCCTGGGTTCGTGGATCCGGACTACAACCGCACACAGGTGGTGTCGGAGAAGAGTGACGTCTACAGGTGCGCCCCTTAGTACTCTGTTAGGGACTTTCTAGCTCATCCCCGGGCTACTTGGATCAGCACTACTACCGCACACAGGTGGTGTCGGAGAAGAGTGACGTCTACAGGTGCGCCCCTTAGTACTCTGTTAGGGACTTTCTAGCTCATCCCCAGGCTACTTGGATCAGCACTACTACCGCACACACGTGGTGTCGGAGAAGAGTGACGTCTAAAGGTACACCAATTGCATTTATCTGTCGCGGTCTCAAAGAACGTATCTTGTGGACTTGAACATATCTCTCTTCCAATCCAACCCCTCCCTCCCCTCCACAGCCCCTCTGAGTTTTGCATATTTTTCCTCCCCTTGCCTGCTGTGCGTGTGCGGCTCTGGGGTGATGCTGCTGGAGCTGCTGATGAGGCTGTTGCCATCTTTGTCCCCCTTCCCCCTCCCACTCCCCCCTTGCCCCCCTCATCCCCCTGTGCATGCACGTGCAGCTTCGGGGTGGTGCTGCTGGAGCTGCTGACGGGGCGCAGGGCAGCAGTGGAGGGCACCGACAGCCACATCAGCGAGTGGGTGAGTCGAGCGTGCAAGCAGGCAACACAGTGGACCTGATCTATGCATGCTACGCACAGTTGTGTGCTGGCCATTCGTCTCTCAGCTATAGAGCATCCCGCTCTGTGACCTCACTTTGTTTCTTACCGCGTCCCGCATGTCCCCACTCTCCTAAACAAGTACCACATCACTTGCTTGTTCTACCCTCTTGGCCCGTGCTGCAGGCGGCACAGAAGGTGCAGCAGTACGAGCTGGGAGAGCTCAAGGACCCCACACTGGAAGCTTCAGAGGACGCCATCGTCGATTTCGCAGACGTGGCGCTGGACTGCCTCAAGATGCCCGCCTCCCGCCGCCCCTCCATGCAGGATGTCGCCCACCGCCTGCACGGCCTGCTGGCCCAGTACTGCGCTGATGACGGGCCCGATGATTCCCAAGCCAGCCCGCGCGTGGAGACGGAGAGGGCGTTCGTTGGTGGTGGGGAGAACAGCACCACAGGGTTGTTTGACAGCAGCTTGTGGTCCGAAGGGCCGATCGAATGATAGGTTGCTTGACGCAACTGTGGGCATACCGTATATTGAGAGATTGAGCGCTTTGACCTTATTTTCTGATAAAGAAGACAAACCCACAAGCACATGCACACACACTGGACGATGTAGTCTTCGTGTACTATTCACTGTTTCAATCTTCATGGTTCTTAATACTTACGGGTCTGATGTACGGGGGATTACAGTAGATTACATAGTTGCGAATGACAGAACAAAACCCCCCTAATACCACAGCTACCAGTTTGTGTGATCACTCAACATGGCGGTCTTACAGTACCACCATTAAAGCACCTTACAATACAACCCACACAAATGCAGGTCCTTCTGCACCCCATGCCGAAGAACCCATACTATGCCTGCATCCCCGCATCAATCATCATCCCATTCTGAGTCAATCTCGATCCAAGCCCGTGAAAACTCACACAACGTTCTCTCCACAAACCCGCAGCCCCCTACCCTAAGCCGAGTCACCTTCTTCCCTTCCAGGACCGGCAGCAGCCACGCATGCTGCATGTTGTTGCATCCCAGATCTAGCTCCCTCAGCGCAGGAACGCAACTGAGATGCTGCACAAACAGCCTGCTCATGCCGCTGCACTGCTGCAGTTTCAACCGCTCCAGCCGCTCAAGTGCTTGCAGATGCACAGCACCTTGGCTGATGGCCGTTCCCGACAGGTGCAGCGACTGCAGGTGAGCCATGCCTTGGATCACAGACCTCACAGCCCGGTCTGCTGCGAACGTGCAGGCAGCCAGGCTGAGGTCCGTGAGCAGCGAGAGGCGTCTCAAGCACACCACATCAGAATCGTCAAGCAGAGTGCCGGTGATGCGGAGGGTTTTGAGCTGCCTGAGGTTGGAGACGGATCTCACTGCTGTGCTGCTGGGATCGACTGCATGCACCTCCAGGTGCTGCAGTCCTGGCAGGGCACCCACCACCTCCCATATGCTCCCGTCGATGCTGTTGCCGGGGTCTTCACTTGTCGCGCGAAGTGGTGGTCGTTTGATCCCAGGTTCTTAAGGAGGATTGTTGGCGCCAGTTGCAGCCTCTTCAGGCTCACCAGTCCCTTGAGGTGCATCCATCCCCTGGAACTCACCCCCTTGCTGCACGTGCAAGAGAAGACCTCAAGGCTCGTCAGCACCCCAACCTGCTGCAGAATAGAGTCGGTCACCCGGCTTACATGCAGCTCCCTCAAGCTCTCAAACGGCTTAAACGGCCGGAGTTCGGTGGGAGGATTAGAGGGAGGGGGCAGGTTGGCTGCTGGTACGTTGGGAAGCAAGTCAAAGGGTTCAACGCATGCAATGACGAGCCGCTGGAGCCGAGACATGCACTGGAAGAACGGTACTGTGTCTGACTGGATGGACGTTTCGTGGAAGTGCAGGGCTGTGAGTGACGGCAGGCTGAGGAGCTGTTTCACGGCGAATGGCGAGAGGGGGTCGACAATGCGGAATGCGAGTGTGGTGAGGGATGGTAGGAAGTCTGGGTAGCAGTGGGGAGTGAGATGGAGGTAGTAGGCGAGGGAGAGCCTATCTAAGGAGAGTTCTTTTTCAGCGGGGTCTTGGGTCAAAAGCTGAGAAACCACCCAGTTGATTCGTAGGGTGGCAAGCTGTAGCCTTTCAGGGCGGATGCGCAGTAAACTATCAATCCTTCTCCGCAGCCGTGCCCTCACCTCTGCTTCGCTTGCTCTCCCACCCACCGGCGGCCACTGCTGCGCCGTCTTCACCTGCGTTCCCCCTGCTCTCCCCGCCCTAACTCCCCCTCCTCCCCTGTGTGCGTGCCTCTCCTTCACATTGGTTGTAACCGCTCCTTCTGAATCCACCCCCGCTCCCCCACTGCTGCCAGCACTGTGGGCAGCAGAGATGAGTGGCTGAGGTGGATAAAGAGGAGAGAATGAGAGAGGGTTGAGACCGGGGAAATTGTGGAACGAGGGGATAATGCGAGGGGCGTGCATTCATGAATGACTTGGTGTGGATAAGAGGAGAACTAGGAAGGGAGCGTTGGGGTGCAACAAGCGGAAACAGGGACAGCTTCAGAAGAAAACGAGGAAACTGAAGGGGAGGAAAAGCGAGTCAACGGGAGGAAAATGAGCGGATGGAGGACGGACAGAAACAAGAGGGATCGTACGTGAGTGGAGTTTTGATACTTCTCAAAACTTCACATTTATCAAGAGGGATCGTACACAAGTGGCAAGTACCAAGTGAGGGTCCCTGATATAAGGTCCTTTAAATGCGCCCACCATAGGACAAGGGGATGTTTTTGGCATGCCAGATGCTTCCCACTCACATTTTCAACCGGGTGTTGACTGTTGCCAACCCCCTCATGCGCCGATTCCTCACATCCGCCCCTCTCACATCTGCCCCTCTCACATCCGCCCCTCTCACATCCGCCCCTCTCACATCCGCCCCTCTCACATCTGCCCCTCTCACATCCGCCCCTCTCACATCCACCCCTCTCACATCCCCCACCCCTTCCTCCCGCACCTCCCCCCCCTCCTCGTTCTCCTTTTCCCACGGCTTCTCCCCCCTCCCCTCTTTCTCCTCTTGCATTCTATCCGCGTGAGCCGTCCGAACCTCAAACGCCAGCCTCCGCACTCCCTGCACCATTGAACGGATTGCCTCTGCATGGGCAGACAGAGCCGCCAAATTCTGCCACGTGGGTGGTTCGACGAAGGGGGTTAGGGAGTGAAAGGCCGTGTGGAGGAATGGGAAAGGCCACGGTCAGCCGTGCAGGGAGTGAGGTGTACAGGCGGGGAAGTGGGTGAGAGAGATGAGTGAATTGGGACGAGGGTAACAGCGGGGAAAAAGAGGAGGTATGCATGGATGGGCAAGAGGAAAATCGGATGGCGTGCATTTTAGATGGGGACAAGGCATGCTAGGGTAATACATGGCATGGCATGAGTCGTGCACTCACCTCCGACTAACAGTACGCTTGTGTAATACGGGGCATGGAGTTTCACGTGCGACATGCATGGAGATATGTGTGTAGGGCATGGCATGGCATCGCATAACTTGGCATGGCATGATGCTGCGGCGTGGTGTGGCCTAGCGTGGGCGTAGCATGTTTGTGCGCACTCACCTCCATCATCATCATCGGATGCGAGGGCGCGCCATCCGCCATGCACGCGCGCTTGCGCGCTCCATCGACCCGAGACAGCACCGCTTCCTTCAGCCACTCCTCAAGAAGGTCGGCAGCCAGCAACGACATGGCGCCCACCTTGCGCGCTATCCACTCCTCCAGCTCGCCCATAGCCCTCTCGCCCTCCCTCAACACTCCTTCCAGCTCCTCCTCCCGCCGCCTTGCCTCTGCTAAAGCTTTCCGCGCTTTCTTCAGTTCGTGCCTCCACTCCCACTCGTCCCCCCCCTCCCTCTCGTCCGTCCGCTCCTTCTCGTTCCCTGCATCTCCAGTGGACAAAGTTGTGTCCATCTGATCGCTCAAGCCCTTCGCGGCGTTGTTACCCTTCGCCACGTTGGAACTATTGGCGGACCAGTTACCGGGGAGCGACCGCTGGGCTTTCAGCAGACGCGACAAAATTACCACCGACGAGGGAAAATTCTGGCCACGAAAAGAGATGTCTTTCGGGTTCAAAGGATGATTGTCAATTTGCTAAGCGCGATTGTATAACCAGTGCTAACATTTCAATAGTCACAAGACGGGAAGAAAATAGGGTCTATAGACGCGCAAAGTCTACCTGGACTAATTTCTGTGGGGAAGAATGGCTTTGCGGGTTAGGAGGATGGCTACGTAGTAGTGTGTTGAGGTTGCGGATGAAGCACACCGAGGCATGGCGGAGGGAGAACAGAGCATCCATCTTTTGTTCCAAAACATGTGCCTAGAGAATCAGTGACTGCATGCCTTTCGTGATTCGCACGTTCCGGACGTTGAAATTGCTGACACAAAACAAAGGGGTAGTACGTGGAGCGCAAACGAAGCTGCTACTAATACCACTATAATTCTCGAATTTGCTTCGCGCCTTGCGCACGTAGACTTTGGTCACACAAAACATTGGGATAATGGCGCCGTTCGATTGCACTGTAATTTTTTGTACAGCCACATCACAGTGTGTCCGAGTCGCCCCTAGGGTTTCCGAACCTAGGGTCACTTCACGACATATTCAACTTGCTGGCAACACAATCTTGCTTCACCATTGTTCAGATTTGACAGCTGTGGAAACAAACAAATCCCACACAGTCAAAACCGCGTTCACCACAAGTAAAACAACGAGCTACAAAATTGTGCATTAAATGCACTACATGACAACAGGGGCACTAGTACCGGCTGCAATCTCTTCCCCAAGACTCCTGGAGGCCACAGCTGCTTACCCCTCCGTCCAACTCCGAGCTGTGAGAGATAGAAAAAAAAAAACCAAAGGGGTTGAATCTGAAACTCCCCGTCATCCTCCTGAACCAAGCACATCCAGGATGATGTGGCGTCTCGTTTCTGCTGAGGTACACCGTGTCGCGCGCCTCGACGAGGTCGTAAATGAGTGGTCGATGTACGTAGTTGTGATCCCGCAGTGGGTAATATACGCGACTTTTGAGGCGGGTCCAAATACGTTCCACAGCACCGCTACCCTAGGAAGCGCTCATTGCTGTGCTCATTCGAAGGAATGAGGATCGAGTGAGCTAACAGCGGAGAGATGAGTTCGGTTGAAAAGGGGAGTGTTCTTGGTAGAACCAATACCCTCGATTCAGGTTGGGGCAGAAGGGGGCGAAGTTCAATCTACCCAGAGCCCTGCCCGAACTCTTTACACCTTCAAAGTGGCATTGGGGAGGCTGTCGTTATTGCAGCTAGTGGAAACCAAGCCTTTTTTGCCCGTGAAGTACTGTTGCTTGACCAGCAGGCAACAGTGTTTTTACCGCGGTCCGCAGCGAAAATTACCGCACCAGATTCGTAGGTGGGCCGAACGTACTTCAGGTTCTGGTTCGGATAAGCCTAACCTCTCGTGGGGTTTAAAGCCCAGGTGTGCTGCTGTCGAGCCTTTACCGAACCACGCAATACTGTGATAGGGCTGTGGTTACCCCTGGACTGTGAAGCTATCGAACGGCGCCAATAGGTGCCGCGAAAACCAAGCCACAAAGCTGATTCTCTGCTGTGCTTCCCGCTTTTATTGAGTTGAAATTAATGACACAAAACCGCGGTAAACCCTAATCCGCGAAACGGAGCTAGTAGTAACACCAACAACAACTCTAGCTAGGGGACCACTTCCCAACTATTCTACAACCCCTACCTTCTATCCCTGTTCCACAATCCCCTAATCCCCCCTCCCTTAAAGCTCGCGTCTCAAATTTCCTACCATTTAACACTTGGTTGGGTTTGTGCGTCTGTGATTGGGAGACGAAAAACGAAATATTTGACGAGTGGGTGAAAAAAACACAGCAAACTCCCAAACAGTCGAGGCCAAAACAAACCAGGGTGGGTTGGTTTGGGTGGTTTCCGAACCAAGGGGGACAGGTTTGGTCCCAGGTTCTGTCAACGTTGAGGTCACAAGTCTCAAATTTCCGAGAGTTGTAAACACTTGGTGTGCGCGGGGAAGTGTGCGACACCCAACTTTCCCAACCCACCCCTTGCTTTGGTGTGTTTTGCGACAAACTTTGCTGTTACCGGAATCCAACCGTTTAACACTTGGTTGGATGGCAGAAATATGAGACGCGAGCTTTAACCCCGTCCTATCTCTCACCTTGAAGAAGCCTTGCTTCAAGGGAAGGAGAGATGAGAAAGCGAGATGCGAATGCACAAATGGAAAATGACGACCTACAACCCCAAATATGCGTTTCTGCACTCACCCTCCTCAGCGAAAAGACATAGGTTCGGGATATGCGAACCTATGTTATCGGGCCTGACCTTATCCCAACCCGTAAGAGTGCCTCGCTTTGGCAAATATCTTCGCAGCAGAGTCCTCTGTTCGTTTGGTTTTGTCGCAAGCACCGTAAGCTCAACAATATTTGTTATTAGGTTTAGTTTGAAGAATAAACCCTTTTTTTTTCGCACGTCGGTAACTCGCTCTGATGTGCATACGTAACGAAGTCGCTTCAAGCGCGCCATTGGCCCGGTCACGCGTCTTCGCAGAGCTATCTAGCGAGAATCATGTCAGAATATTATCTTATTGTTCTAGCCTGTAGTGGGGTGCTCTATAGCGAGTACAACCCTTCTAGGGTTTGCTATTTGTATCCCCATTTCTGCTAGTTCATCCCTCTTTCTTCCTTCTAATTTTGACAAATCAAATACATATGTAGAGTACTATTTCCCGCAAGCATTCAAGCCACGTGTCGCCCACTAGCGCGTCGCACAATGACACGCGGCGAGTTCGGATGAAAAGGCGAAATGGCTTGCCGATTTCGCAGCAGCATTCAGGCGACGACGACATCGCGCGAAAAGGGGGTGGAAAGCCGCCGAGCTGCACGGAAGCCAGGGCCACAAATCCCGTTCGTCCCACTTGTCGTTATGAAAGTGATGGCCATGTGCCAGAGCACCAACAAGCACGGCATGAAACGAGCCCAAAGTGATCCAATGGCTGAATCGCGCGCAACGCGAAATTTGCATGAGCGGGAATGTGTGTTTGGAGCCATGCAGAGAGGGCTTGAGTCATACTCTTCCGCGTGTTCTGAAACGCGAACGACACTAACACGATCGACGCGAACGACACTTCCACGAACGAGTCTAACAAAAGGCCAATCTTGATTGCGCGAAACCTGAACACTATGTTTTCTCAAAACTTCGCAACTGTTAGACTGTCCCCTGCTGTTGTGTTTCGTGTTGTGTTGTGTTCTCTTTGCCCTCTGGAATAAATGATTTTGCTATCATGATTGAGTTTGCTACCTAGACTTAGCACGACAAAACCCCCGTTGAGACCTAAACAGGTGTAGCACAACCAGATTCAAAAACAAAAACACAAAAGCGAACTCAGAGTAAGAAAAAATTCAACCACCCGTACGCCAAAACCATGCCGCGATCACATTTCCTCCGTTTCATCGTCGTCAAGCTCAATAGCCTGGGAGCCACCTTCGTCGTCCGATTTCGCGGCACTCTTTTTTCCAGCCTGGGAGCCACCTTCGTCGTCAGATTTCGCAGCACTCTTTCTTACACGCGACCGGCTAACGTCACGATTCTTAGCCTTCGCGCATTCGTCACCGCACTCGATATACAAGCCCAGCGCCCGCATCTTCTTTACGGCATCTGTGTCGAAGTTCCGGGTTCTCAGCACATCCACCTGCTCGTGAATGATGCTCTTCTCATTTTTCGTGACAAATGCTTTTTTCGCGACCTCGAAATGTTTCGCGACCTCGAGTTCGATCTTAGCAGCATCATGTCCCTTCTTCGCTGTCGTAACGATGTGCTTCCAAACGGCGAGGTAGAGAACCACGCTCAGATCACTCGCTCCTGCAAGCAGTGCGGCCTGTTTCGCGCTCGCTTCCGCGCTCTTCAGATCATATCCCTTACACTGCATCCAGGAAACCGCGCAAACAAACGCCACACTCCCAGCACCAGAGTGCACAAACTTCTTGCCCTTCGCGGGTGAATCGTCCGCCACGGTCTCGAGTCCAACCGCAGCAGAGCAGGCGACCTCGTCGCTCGCTTCCGCGTTTTCATTCTTTAAAGTCCTGTATCGTTTCATCACAGCTCGAAACCTGCACGCGGGACAGTGATAAAATTAGAGACGTGTTGTATAATGACATCGCGAACCACTGATGCCAGACTATACGGACCTTTCGGGGCTCGCGCAGATACCTCGCAGATAAAGCACCGCGAAAACTCCAGGGTGCATAATCCTCGCCACATCAAGATCGGAGGTCCACTCCTCTTTTTCCTCGTCAGTCAGAACCAGCTTGTCCTCGGTAATGTGCTGATTCCACACCATCTGTGCCACCGCGCACAAAAACCGCACGGTAGGGAGCTTGGCGTGGGAACCGAAGTACCAGCGTGACGAGTGGTGAAGCTCCAAGGTGAACAAGCCCCGCGAGTTTCGCCGTATACCAATGCCCCATTTCGGATCCTCCTTCTCCTTTCCTTTCGCGCTTCCCTTCGCGTCCGCCTTCTCCGGGTGCTGAACCATGGACAACCACTTCTGCATGGCCTCCGTTGCCTTAGCATCTGCGTCAGGGATTTCCTCTGCGCCATGCAGCAAGGGCACACCAGCCTGCTGGGTCGCGGCACCTCCAGCTGCTGGCGGCCCTCCAGTGCCAGACGGGATCGGCGAGGGCCTCTTGACAGTCGCACCCGCGGCTTTGGACTTCTGAGCCAAACTCCCGCGGCCAGGTTCTCGGGCCTCCGGTTGCTTGGACGATCCCTTTGCTTTCTTGGGGGGCGGCGAGGGTGAACGGGATGTCGGTAACCCGGATGGCCTCTTCACCCCGCGATCCTCGCTCCCCGTTGCTTCTGTGGTTTCAAAGCGCAAGGGTCCGGTGACCATCCTGATGCCTCCACCTCCACGATCCGCGGCAGTCGCCACACCTGCCTCGAACGTCCCCATCCTTCCCCACGGGGCCATCTCGTAACGCGTTCGTGCCACCGCATCCGAAATCGAATCCGCAATCAAAGCCTTCAGTCCCACCATCGTGTCCTCCAACCTACGGAGCGTACGGTCCGCGGCCTCGCGCTGCACAGTCGCAGACCCACGCTCAACCCTTAGCTCCTGGACCAAGCCCTCGACTGTCCGCACCCATTTTTCCTCCGCCTCCTGAATCCGCGTTGCGATGTTGCCCGTCCTCGTAATGGTTGCGTCCAGATTGTCCTTCTGGACTTGAAGATCATTCAGAAGGCCGCGAATCCGATTGCGCTGAAGCTTGAGGGAGTGATCCGCGTCGTACTGAGCCTGAATCGAATCATCCAGAGCACCTTCTAGCCGGACAACCTCGTGCGCGAGCGTCAACATTGGCCAGGTCAGCAGCTCGGATAACGTGTGGTGCGGCACATTTGAATCCTCGTCTCCAGTATCTCGCGAACCTCTGCCCACTCCCACGTTCGCGCCAGCAGCAGGCTGCGCTTCCGCCTGAGGCACGGAAGGTTGCTGGGCCAAGGTCTTGGTTTTTGCGGTTTTTGCTGCGGCAGTCCGATGGTGAGTGTCAACCGCAGCCTTCTAGGTGGCAGCCGCAGCGGCAACATTGCGGTCTCGCTGCTCCCCGTCCTTGCCGTCGCCATCCCCTTCACCCGCCCCCTCGGTTTCTTGATCGCCCTCTGCTTCCTCATATTTCTCGTCGTCGGACTCCTCCTGCCTGGCCTCGACCGCGTGCCTGGTCGGACATGCTCATTTTGATGGCGAGGTCCTGCGCGTGCTTCAGAATTTGGCCGCGAGTTGCTTTCAGATTCTTGTTCGCCACGGCACGGACCGGAGCGTCGGAATACTTCGCCAGAGTCACGAATTCCGAAAGCAGGCGCTGGAACCCGTAGACACTCTTCACGCCCGATCCACACCGCGAATCATCTATCGCGGTTAGGCCCTGCACGCGATTACAGAAGATAGGTCAGTTTTGCAGAGGCGTGCAGAAATGTGCAATCAATGAGTGCGTTTGATTTCCTACGAACCATGTTTTGCATACGTCTCGAAAGAGGACTTGAACCACCTGCGACCCAAATCGCACGGCCACGCGTCAGAAGTTGGAATCAGCGCGAACCCTCCGAATGCGAAAAAAACGTGACAGTTTTCTTACACTACAATCTCCTCCACCTTCGAGGCGTGCCCGTCAGGTCCCACCCCCTGGTCAATATGGATGAGTCGAGTCGCGCAGCTCTCGCTGCCCTCGTTCTGCCAGTCTTTCGGCTTGAAAAACACGATAATGCTACACAGCGGCTCGTCGATATCCGACCTGCTCATGGCCATGCGAAAAAAGTGTTAGGCACTGCACTAATTCCATTTCGCATTGCTTGTGAAAATCGCGGCCAATCCGTACTTGGACCACAGGGGGAAAACGAGGAGGTCGGACTTGAGCATGGCGGGTATGGGGGCGTCGGATGCCAGAAACTTTGCGTGCTGCGCCGACGTATAAATCTTTGTCGTTTTGCGGCGATCACCTCCGTGTTTCTCCAACACGAAACTTAGAACATAACAAAAAACACGAGCAGCTTAGATCCGTCAGAACAATACCGGCGCGCGATCGAAGATGAAACACGAAGCGCACTCTTACATGCACGCGAAATCGAGGACTGCGGCGGTGAAGTCGGCGCTATCGTCCGCGAGAACGGACTTGTCTTCCGCGGCTAGGACAACGGTGGCTCCGCCCGCCTCCACTGCGACGTCAAACTTCTTAAGGCACCCGACGGGGTCGGACAACGCTCGCGCATCACGAGCCATCCTGCCGAAAACGTGAACGGCACGATTCATCATGGCACACGCGACCGGCTGGTGAGCAACATTCGTATCACGAACTCACAGTGACTGGGTTTAGGGTCGCGAAAAATGACGAGGTTCAACGACGCGAAACATGACCGGGTTGAACGACGTGAAAAATGACGGGTTCAACTACGCGAAAAATGACGGGTTCAACGACGCGGAAAATGAGCAGCGAACAAAAACCAAAACCGCGCCGATCACTCCGCACTGTTTCTACGATCCCGAATTACGCAAAAAACCAAAATTTCAACACACCGCACACCACAACAATCTCGGGCCCTACAATCCACCTAGCTATCCACACTCACTCCTTGCACACAAAATCCGCCCACCCTCCTACACCTTTCCCCTAGCCCAAGCCCCCGGTGCTCACCTAGGTTGAAGTTAGAGAGCAGAAGCGAAGGTTGAGAATCGATTGCAAAAAATCACAATCACTTGCACAAATGAGAAATGACGGCCTCGGGCCCCTTTTACCCCCTCCCCACTCGTGAACCCACGGCTGCAACATCCGCCGGTTCGGGTTCACGCGAACCAGGACTTTCGCCACGGACGTGTCCCAAACCGCTGTTGTGAGGCTCGTTGGGGTTTTGTCCTCGCCTCAGCGTCGCTTGTTTGGAGAGTCGGGGATTTAGTGTACCGTGTGGCATGCGAAGTGTACAATCGCGATTGTGATGGAGATGTTTTCGCTATTGTGATGCGCTAATTTCTTATTATTATTGTCGGACTGATACGCAACATCGTAATGAATTAAACGACATGCACGAGTGCAGGTGGTCCCCAAGCAGCTGCGTCACCAGGTCGGGTTCTGAGTCACCTTGGTGGTCCCCACGGCTGGGTGGTCGAGTAGAACTCTGCCGTGTGACGTTTAGTGAGGAAGAGAGGAATTATATTGTGTGACGTTTTCATCGAACCCGCGATTGTCATGCCTTGGAACATAAAAAAATCTAACTCTAATGGATGGATCCAAATGAAGAGACTTGACTAGCTTTGACTTGTAGTATGCAACTTACTTTGATTTTCGAGACATTCCCATGGTTCACTTAGACGAGTACTCCGGGGTGAGGTCGCACATTCGAGCTTGCTAGAGCTTTGTAGCGTAGTGTTGTCTAAACCGTTGCTTTTCCGTGAGTGAATTGTGCTCTGCATATATTGCGCCCCATGATTTTCAACTAGCTGTTTATCACTATAAACTGATTGATGGTTTCGAGCACAATCCTGCTACTTTATAATGCAGTAATCTGTACTAAAGTCTCAGTCATGCTTAGTTTCCGAAGTAGGAATGTAGGAATTGATGGTCTAAATTTTAACCCAAAACCGGCGCTAATCAACAATGTTCCGAAGACACAAATGTAACTCTGAACTAGGGGTCGGTGTAGAGCACAGTAGACGAGAAGGTAACAATGGTTCCAAGTCGAGAAAATTAGAAAAGAGGTCCAAAAAGGGATGACCAGGCAAACATGGAAGCAACGAACTTGGGGAACTACTTCTTCAGTTTAGCCAGCTTCTTTGCCTCCTCGATCTTGATCTGCTTCCAATTATCTTTCCCAAACATCGTCTCTCCCCACGCGTCACCTTCCATCTTGGCAGCGAAAAAGAGGTACCCGACCCTGCGGCATTTGTTCTCCGTCGTAATATCCTTGCCTGAATTATCCCTCTTTGGTGGTGGCTCGTCTCCGAAAATCACGCCATCTGCCAGAGCGCTGATCGAACTCCGATCTACCACGTCCAACTGGATCTTTGCAATGGCTGCTTGGGTGGCCTCCTCCGATTCATTAGCCCTGTACTTCTCGACTGTAAGCATCACGTTTCTCATTCGCTTCATTTTTTTGTCGCCAAAGTCGTCCTTTTTACCCTTCTCAATATAAGAGAAAGTGGGGTAGAAACTCTTTTCGGACGACAGCTGGCGGAGCGTCTTTCCGTCAATAAAAAAAGTCACCTTCACCCAGGGTTCCCATGCCTCAGCGACCGTCTTCGAGTCCCGCCAGGGTTTAACGACAAGGTCGAAAAATGCCCGCACCGGAGTGGTGACTTGTGGCTTCTCGAGCTTCGGAGCCCCTCCACCAGCTTCCACCTTTTCCAACGCGCTCGTCCCTGGACCTGCAGCCTCTGCGTTAGCATTGGTCGGGGCATGCGCCTTCAGAGCAGCCAGCTCCTGTTTGAGCTGCTCGAGTTCAGCGGCTGTTTTTTTCTCCCGCTCTTCGCTTGCAGCGAGCCTGTTCTTGAGCTCTCCAATCTCGTGATCCTTCTGACCACAATCGATCCGGAGCAAGCTGTTTTCTACGAGGAGTTTTTGGTACTTTCGCGTAGAGTTCAGCTTGTAGATCACATCCTGCGGGAAAACGGACGAGGGTTTTCAGAGATTGTTAGAGATTTGCCGAAATGGAAGTACCAATCAGAGAACTATTGTACTTACAGCGGCTGCTGAGCTGCCCCGGGCTTCACGAAGTTCAATGCCATTCTTGTGCATGATTGCAACTTTGATGGCCCACTTCTGAAACAATGGGTGGCGGCAGAGCGGATTCATGTCCGTGTACGGGTGGCGCTGGCACTCGCATGGCCGTCTTGTACCGTCGAACAGCTTGTCGTGATCGGGGCAATAGAACCACCACATGGCAAGGTCCTGTGCCACGATGTCTCGCCCAGGGTTCGCAAGAGCCTCCAAAAAACTTCTGCCAGAGAGGTGCATCTTCTCTGGATTGTCTTTGTTGTACTTATCGACCTGAGATGATAGGACAGAAAGTTGAGTGAGCTTTGACACGCGTAACAAAATCAGGCAACAGCTAAAAGCTGGCTACTTAAGGGATACCTCTGCCAACTGAGATTCGAGGCGCGGGAAGATGAACTTCTTGAAGAGGGCCTGCAACTTCTCCCACTCGACAGGGTCATCCAGCTCGGCGTGCGCTCTGCCAATGTAATAATCTCCCGGTTCCCCACTGAATCCGGCCATCATCAACACAGGCCAAAACGGGATTCCCACGACGTAGGATTTTCGCATCTCGCCCTGCTCCCAGCCTCCGAGGGCGTTGATGTCGGGGTCGGGACAGCGATCGTCATTCAGGCCTTGGGCTCCCGACCGGCAAAACGCGTGGGTCTTTTTGCTCATCTTCCAGGGCGGTTTAGCTACATCCTTCATCACCCAATTAATCCAATTGTTGTGAGTCACGTACGGAAGCTCTTCCTGCAGTTGTTCCCTTCCGTGCTTCAATGGGAAAAAAATGTGCTTCGACCACCGCAGTGGGTTGGTGAAGTCCAGGGGCGGAACGATGTCCGTGCCGAATCGAATTGGCACGATGTCGTAGATGAAATGAATCCACAAAAAAAGGCCACCAACACCGCAAAGCGAGAAGTTCATGTGCCGGGCCAAGAATTGGTGGGTCAGCATGTTGGTTGAATTCGTCTTGGATTTTCGAGAGGCGAAAACAATTACAGGGAGATCCTTCTGGCGATCGGGGACGGCCGTGCTGCTACGCGTATGCCGGACAAACATGTTGGCGAAATAAAGAGGACGAATGCTGCATCCCCTCCCCAACAATTGGTGTGCGAGCTGAATCATCACCTGCACCGCAAAACACCGCCAGAGACTTTCTGATAATGCAACCCTGGCCCTCTGGTACAACGTTTTAATGTCCCTCAGAAGGTGCTTTTCGTGCAGATCCACGTACTGCTCCGCCGTGTAGCAATCGTCCAGTGAGCCCCTGTGCTGATCTGTGCCCTCCCTGCACAGAACCACATGGAACGCGATTAGGCAGTGAAATTTCGATCAACTGAGTGGCCAAAAGGTGTGTCAATACTCACGCAACCTGCTTGTCGTGCAGCTGTTTCAGCTTGAGCTTCATGTACTCCCGCGCTTCGCTGGTGTACTCATCCGCTTCGGACTTAGGGTAGTTGTAGAGACGAGATTCCAGTCTGCCGAGGAAGCCCAAGGCGCTCATCTTTGCCTTCATCATGCTCGGCGTACTAGTGATGGGCACCTTCCCAGCCACCACTTCTTCGCCTCTCCGCATCATTTCGGCCTGCGCCGGGCATTCGTCTGCCATGTACTGCAGGTATCTCTGAATCCTCCATCCAGAAACATGGGGCCCGTGCAGATAGGATTCCTCGGGTTCCACACTTGACCACGCCTACTTTTTGTCGTCCCCCAAATGGAGTCCAACCTCATCCGGTGTAACGGTATTTAGACGCTCCTTCTTTGGAACCCCTGTCTTGGGCAGCGTTGACATGAACAAGATGACCCACCACTTGTAGTGCTGCTAATACAGGATGTATTCCTTTCTAGTTTTCGGCGCGAGATAATCAAAAGGGGTCTTTGCACGGCGCTTCCTGCTGCCCATGTCGGCCTGTTTCCGAACTGATTCCTGCGTAGCTGATGCTGGCCCATCTGCATTTCTCTGAGACGCAGCATGTGATTCCCGACCCTCTGCATTTCCCTGTGGCGCAGCCTGTGATTCTTTCCCCTCTGCATTTCCCTTGGGCGTAGCCTGCGATTCGAGCCTATGTGCACTTCCAGGTGGTGATGCCTGTGATTCTAGGCCGTTGACATTGCCGCGGGATGCATCCCCAAAAACATTTCGAGTGCTGGCGTTATCTTCAGAGGTCGGGCTTCGGCTAGCATTTCCCTCCCATTCCTCCTCCCACAAGGCTCGGTGGGGGTCCTCCTCGTCTTCCGCGAGGCTAATCCACACCCCCGAACGCTGGCCGCCCCTCGGAATTGCGCCCTCAGCATCGTTTCCCTCGACCCCGACTTGAGGGTTCGAGGACGGAAATTCCGACGGAGCATCCACGAACACTTCTTCCCCAACTGCCGGCGTGAATTCCGTGTCCCAATCGCGGTCCCCGGTTAGATCAATCGGGGCATCGGGCAGTTGGCAGTCTGGAAGATCTACAGATGTCTCGTTGTCATCGAAAGCTGCTGCACTAAGAAAATTACCCGTACCTCCATCGACCTCCATCACGGTGTACCT